AGATCTTGAAGGATTTTACTAAAAGTAAACGACATTGAAATTTAAAACAGCTTCCTCCTTGGTCACGTTATACTCTTTTCATTTTAAATTAATTCTTTTCTATACATATAATAAAATTCTAACTAAGCCGAATCTGTACATTAAATATTTTTTGGAAAAACTTATTGAAATAGACCTTATTTTCGATACAAAGGCCAAATCAATAGTTTTTAGAATGTTTGTCTGTCTGTTACCGCATCACGGAAAAACCACTGAAGGGATTTTAATGAAATTTGGTATGGTAGTAGCTGGTTATCCGGGTCAACATATAGGATACTTTTTACCTCAGGAAAATATTCCATTTCTGAGAAAAAATACAAAAACTGCGTTGTAAGAGTATAATAATATGTAAAACCTAAGAATTTGCTTTTTGGTCATCTGAACGCGGGCGGAGCCGCGGGCAATGCTAGTTTATCTATATAAAGCTTTTTCTGTAATAAAGAGGTCAAGTTTTGAACATTGATTTATAGGAAGTTATACAATTTTGATAAATAACAAACCAAAACAATTCGAGTATATAGTATGTAAAAGGCAACTGCCTGGTCTGGTGGTTGCACTGCAGATTCGTAGATCCTGGGTTCGAATTCCAGGTTGGGTGGGCCTGGTAATGTTATAAAGTTTATCTGTAAGGAAATTCTCTATATCAGCCCGGAGATGGAAAGTTGGTGGTGCTACAGCGTCGTGCCTCAGAATCTCCTGATCTCTCGCCGGTTGTATTGAATTATTATACTGACCTTTGATAGTAAAAAGAATAGAGACTTGAGATATGACATAATAGAGTGCACATAATAATGTTTGAGCATACACTTGTACACTATAATGTCTCCCGCGAAGATGTCTAATGTAATTGCAATTGGCCGCTGCCGTGCCGCGCTGTGGCCGAAATAGGTCAGGTCGTTACCTATTGTACCAAATAGTACTTAGTAAAAGACTTTTGGGCGAATTTTCATATTTTTATTTTTTATATATTAGATACTAATAGTATTTGATAACTTAATAATATAACTGCCTCGGTGGTCTATTGGCTAACATGTACGGTTGCAGATGCTAAGGTCCTGGGTTCGAGTCCCGGGTCGGATCAAGTTTGATTAGTGAGATTTTCTATTAAAATATTCTCAGTCCCCCATGCAATCATTACATCGTTAAGGATAAGTGGTATAAGATGAGAAGAACATAGCAAAGTTGAACAAAAAAAACTTAAGTATATATAAATTTAAATAGATAAATTGTATATAAATACTATTATGATATCAGTTTTATATTTTTCTTATGATTTTTTCCGATATACTTTTTGTTATTCAAAAATTGATATAATTAAAATAAAATTATACTTATAATATAGTTATAAAATTTTAAGTAGGTAATTATACCATTACATATATCCCCGTACTTACTTCGTTCTTCCATATTGAACGGGTAATGTAAATGGCAATACTTTAAATCAATAATCATTTAGAAATCAAATCTTATCTTAAATATAATAGCATAGTTCTTAGGAATGTTTAAAAATAGTGCCATGATAGTTGATACGCTATCACGCACAATGATACTTGATAGCGCTGTTCAGCATTATTTAAAGTTTAAACTAAAATTATGAAAACTATACTAAATTGTTATTCTTCAATACTTAGTATAGAAAAATATCGATAATCTATAGTTTCTCTATCACTTAGATATGATTTTAAGGGGATACCACACTTCAGTGAAAGCTTACTCATAAAAAAAAGAATTATAAAAAAATCAGTTACAAATGAACGACGAATGTAACATATTATACAAAAACAATAACCGCGTTGAATGAATATCTTCTTTTTTTTCAGAAGTCGGTCAAAATAATAGACGAATATAAATCGTTCGTCAAATACATATATGTATGTATTGTACCCAAATACCGATGATGTAATGGAAAGTATGCTTGCCAAGTCCAGAAGTCGATACTTATTGCAAGTCATACAGGGAATTCCGTTTGAATCGGCGCGGTGCCTGGAATTCAACAGCAATAATATCGTAGGACCACCAAATGATAAATGCGTATTTAGTAAGTTCGTATTGATGTTGCGTCCAAACTACTTACATGGTAGTTATATTTGAAGAAAGGAGCAAAATGATAATACTTTCTTAGATTTACGCGAATATCTGACATTATAAATAAATATATTATAAAAATAAAAATCCCAACTGCATAAAAGCTAACTAAAAAGATGACAACCATTTCGCGAAGGAATTGTGTTTGAAATGTGCAGTCGGAGACATACATACGAGTATATGTATGTACATCTCGCGGCAAGGATGAAACGTGTATTACCTATATTTATTTATTTACAGATTTTAAGTATTTTTAAGTAGGAAAATTAGCGAGAATGGTTGTTAACCAACTTTAAATCATCATATATCCTAAACTGTTATTTAAAATGAAAAATGATGGAAGAAACCTAAAAATGATTTTTAAATACCTATTCAACGATACCCCACTTGACATAGTTCATCGATTTTCATCATTTCTTTTTCACATTATGGCGTCCAAAATCAGTCATTGTGATTTTTCTAAATTTTTATGCTTTCTATAGCAATCGCGCCGTCATGATGAATCAAACGACGTGTCATTTATCAAAATCGGCCCACGCGTTTGGTCTAAATAGTGCCACAAAGGTACAAAATACATACATACATAGGCCGTTAACACATCACCCTCCTTTACGTCGCGCAGTCGGTAATAAAGCTTTACGGATTTTTTCGCGGATTTATTTTGATTTTTGGTCCCCGACGTTTCGAATGCTTTACAGCAATCGTGAGACTCTCGTACGAAAAGATAGTTTTATTTTATTTAAATCTAGCAGAACCTGCGGCTTCGCTCGCGCTAAAACTACAAAAAACTCTAAAAAGGTAGGTTTCTTAAAAATTCTCATCCCCTATTTTACTCTCTTAGGCGTTGAATTTTGGAAAATGCTGAAACACGTAACTCATTATTTTTGCCATACTCAATTCATACGAAATTTCATGCAAATATGTCCAAGGAATAAAAAGTTTCATATAAACTTTTAACCCCTATTTCACCCTTTGGGGGTTGAATTTTGAAAAATCCTTCCTTAATGGATGCCTACGTCATAAGAGGAATACATGTGCGAAATTTTAAGTTTCTAGCCTTAAGGGTTTGGTCTGTGCGTTGATACATCAATCAATCACTTTTGCCGTTTATATATATAGATAGATAAGGAAAATAATTTAAATAATAAAATGATTTCTGTAAATAGATACATATTAAAAAAATCGTAAGTTCTTTTGTCATCTCCGTAATGTCTTTACCGATACCGAGACTTTCACTGGCAGAGAATTCGGACGTTAGTGATATAGACTTTTTTAGTTTCGCAACAAACGAGTGGAGCCGAGGATGAAAGCTAATGATTAATAAGGGAAATAAGATGGAAATACGCTTTATAATTTATATACTATTAAGAAATATCGTATTAGCACAATATTTTATATGTTTGTCTGTGTGCTCAATTCATTTATACATTCTCAATTCTCATAAATATGTACTTATAAGTACTAAAGTAACAAATGAGACACAAGACTGATAGCAATTATTTTTATATAAAATTATGTATTTTAAGCAAACCATACTTTGCATACTGTTTGAAGCCCAATTGTTTGAAGCTTTTTCATATTCATGAAATCCGAATGCACTTAAAACAAATTGAGTTAAAGACTGAGTGAAATAATAACATTCAATAGATACTTAAATGATTTTTGTGCGTAATCGAGTTCGACATTTGTTTTGGAAGAAAAATCGATAAGGAAGAACCGAGATATTTCCTACTAATGAACGTGACGAACATATGCATTTATAGACAGTGATAAGCTTCAAATCAAGCAACAAATAAGTAATCTATACAATAATTTACTATAGGTACCCTCATTTTCCATGACTATATTATGTGGGAGAGCGGTTATCTCGGCAAATCATCTTAATTAACTTTAGAAAAATATATATAATTAAACTGCCTACAGTCGTATCTAGATGGGAATTATTGTTTTAAATGCCTATTTCGTTAAAGCAAACCGAAAACCCAGCGAGAGTAGAAAGATGTTAATTTGATTTTCACATTGGTATGAGCAGTTAGGTCTTGTGATTCGCTTTCAGTATTTCATACTAGACTAGCGACTCACCCTCGCTTCGCTCGGTTTCGTCCCTAACTTGCTTCCCAATACAAACTTTCATCCCCATTTTCACCCCCTTGATTTCCGGGATAAAAAGTATCCTATGTCCTTCCCAGGGTCTCAAACTATCTTCTTACCAAATTTCATCTAAAGATTACCCCCTACAACTTTACCGCTTTATAATATTAGTATAGATAACTCATATCAATACAGTTATCAATTTAAAAATATTTATTATTCATAATTAATTACTAACCATTGAATGTATCTTTCCTATTAATTATATACTTCGATAAGACATTAAATACATATGTACTGTAAACTGATATATGATATCCAGCACGTTGAGTAAATAGCGATAAAGTATTTCTACACTTTCCAATCTCGGATTTATCTGAAAATTGTAATTCCGAGTCTACCACATATTAAAACGGATGTCATTTAATATAATAGGTACAATATATAATAATCTAGAACGACAGTATAATGATCATTGTCAAACAATAAAATTTTCGTAATGATAAAATGATGATATCGAGTACCAACGTAACAAAGCAGTGTATGAAAACAAAGAATTATTGTACTTTTCTGCGTCATTGTGTATAAAAAACTTTAGTTCATTACAAATATAATGTAATTTAGCGAATACTGCTAAATATTAAATGCCTACTAAGTTTGACTTTAATTTCGTCAGTGAATTTTAACTAGGCACACATTAAAATATTAATAAATAATAATATAATAAAGTACCTATTTTGCATAATTATGTACTACATGGATATTTAAATAAAAAAATAACTTACTGCTTTTTCTTCCTTCCTGCACCTTATAAGTGAGGTCCGTAAAAGCTAAATCCACTGGTGGTCGTTTAGGTAGATGTGTAAGGGTCTTCGGCTGGGCTGGTGTGATGGTCACCTTCAGACTGCCTTTCCTGTCAGATATCATTGGTTTAGTTTCCTCTGAAGCGAGGCACGATTCTTTGTCCACTTTCATTTTGCACAATAAAGATTGAACGAAATCAAAATATCATTTCCTTGACAAAGGAGGTTAAAACCGGCGCAGTACACGTGCGATCCGCTGTACTCTCGCGCACACACTGACAGTCTGACTTGAGGTTGAGTAGTTTGAATGACGTCGCAATACTGTTCTGAACTTTGCGCCCGCGCAGCGGATATATTTTATCGGGATTCCGTAATTAAAGCGAATCAAAGTTATGACTACTTTAAAGTGCATATTGATTGTAAATTAAACTGATATCAATATGCATGAACTTAATCTTTGACCAAATTGCCTCATAGTTTTAAATATAATAAGTGAACAATAAACCAGGCTATTGTGTTTATAAATTATTGTTTTCACTTTTATTATTAGACTAGCGACTCACCCTCGCTTCGCTCGGGTTCGTCTCTAGGTTGATTCCCCATACAAATTTTCATCCGCATTTTCGCCCCCTTAAGAGATGATTTCCGGTATAAAAAGTATTCTATGTCCTTCCCATGGTCTCAAACTATCTTCTTACCAAATTTCATCTAAATCGGTTCAGTAAATCCAGAGATTACCGCCTACAACGTCACAAACTCACAATCTCACAAACTCTTTATATTATTAGTATAGATTTCCCATACTGTGTTATCATCATTATCCAGAAAATAAATGTATAAAAAAAAGTTCAACCTCTTTAAGCAATTTTTTTATTGTTATATTTTTATTTAATTATTAATAATTTCAGCATTAAGGTGTCTGCCTACTACACCGTCTCAAACCATGACTGTGCTATGCACGTATCAGGCACAGAAACAAGCATGGCACGGACTACTATGCCCACTAGACAGTATCAACACCATATGCTCAGCATTGCGCCGCCTGCGTGCACCGGTCCCGCAACGTCGCGTAGCAGACACGGAGTGTACCGGCACCGGCAAAATATTCTCGCCGACAATTGTGAATTGTTACCGCTCCGTGCGTGCACGACACGCGACGGTGCCGGTTGGTGACGGAACGGTCTAGTGAGCAGAGTGAGTCTCATACTTTTTAATACAAAGAATATGTTTTTGACTGACACGGTCCTAGCACGGTTGGTCAGGGTATGAGGCAGTGTAGTCGGCAGACTCCTTTAAATACCTTCCACTTACAAAAATTTATAAATTTTTATATGTCTAAATGTTTAGTAAATACTAAATTTTAAAATTTAAACATTTGTTAAATATTTCGTTGTATTATTTAAAATGAGTGAAGAAAATTGATGTAAGTGGCCCTAAACAATAACAATTATAGCTCTAAATATTAGTTCCCAAGTCATATTTTTATTTAATCATTATATTTTATATTATTTTACTTCATCATGAATCTTTTAAACTTGAACTTATTTAAAATTTCTTGTATTATGAAAGCTCACTTGTTGTCTTATTGGTCTAGTAACTAACAACCACAGATCTAGCGCTTATTGTTTGTTTTTGGCTGGATTTGTGTCCCAAAATAGTGATTGGGGAAAATATAGTTTTTATATTTATATAATTTCTCCATGTGAGCATATAGTTTCTGTGCCAAATTGACTGCCGTGGACCATATTGGTTGGGAGATCATTATTAAATATTTAGTAGGTCATTATATATTTATTTAGATTAATATGTTGTAAAATGTTTATAGCATATCACTCATTATACTAAAAACAATCTCTCCTATGAAAAATATATATAAATATTAAATTTATAACATAAAATAGCTATCTTACAGTCCTAAGATAAGCATATTTTTGGATTTAAGAAACAAATGAGACACAAGACTAAATATTTTTGAAAAATAAGACTAGTTTTAAGGATATGCAGTATACACAATATTTTGCTTTAATGCATATGACATTGATTTAAAATAAAAAACCTTAAATAATAAAAGACAATTAATGTCGTAAAAATTTAACATTTAAAAACTTTCTAATTCTACTTTATAAGGTTAAAACCATGGAAATAAGGTAGAACTGTCCTAAATTTGTAACCTGGTTATAGCAATAAAAATTGAATAACATAAACTTAAAATATATATTTGTTAATATGCCACTTATTACAAAAAATAAAAAGAGGTCATGAGAAATGGCTACGTTGAGAACTCAAAATGAACATAAATAATTTAAAACTTAACAATAATATTTACCCAAAATTATTTAGAAGAAATTTGCTATCCATAATTATTTAATATAATACACATATCATGAATTATTAAAAGAGATTAATTTATAACACAAAGTAAACACTAGAGAATCAAAACAAAACACGACAGTTTTACGAATTTGCGAATGTCTTAACATAGCTCGATATCATATTGAAGGCAGACGTAAGACGGCAGTGCTGCCAACTCTCCTTAAAGAAAACGTGCTAAATTAACTTCAGAAAAGCGCTAGATTTGAACATTTTTCGAAAAAAAAGCACTACGTTATAAAAAATTTGGTAATAATAATTATTTTTAATTAAAAGTTACATAAAAAGACAATAATAATCTACAAATTTAATAGCTAATATTCTTCATCGTCAGCTGATCAGAAACTTTTTCTTCTTGTACAAATTGGTCACGGTAATATTACATACAGTATTCCATCTTCATACAAACGGTCGGAAATCGAGTTATACCTACATACGTGCCTCGCGTTCGGTATACACTCGGTAAACAACCATGCGGGTCGGGTGCGTGCAGATCGTATAATTGGATACGAAAATTGTATACGGTGGTTATGTATTTATGTTATGTTACTTTTATAATTGGATACAAAAATAAACCTTTTTGTCCTCCCGTAACTTCGCTAATGTCAAAAAAAAAAGTATCGCGACATCGTATGTTTTAAAAATAAAAATTAAAGTATTTTTAATTAAACTTTTTATCCGAATGCGGATTCTTTATACTATTAAATTTAACAATAAAGCTTTTCGTACGTCTCAGTTAAGGCGCAAATATTTTTAAATTTTTTAATTAAATCTACTAATAATAGTTGTTAATAAAAAATATAATATTTGAAATCACAAAATTAGAAAGAAACTCAAGTAGATAGATGAAATTAAAATACTGGTCAGCGGGCACTCGGGCAGCCCTGTCGCGTGGGTACGTGCCGGTCGGCTGTAGGTAATTATTTCAAGGACAGGCCCGAGTTAGAATACTGTATGCATTACATAACCGTGATTTGGTGGTTTAACTCGCGTCATCTAAAAAGAACGCTGGCTGTCAAACTGCGCAGAAGCGATTTATCGGTCAAATTGGTGGTAAGAGATGGGGAGCGGGGCAGCGGGGCACGAGCCGCATGCTTGCCGGTGCGCTATTCGTTCGTCAGTTCGAAATACCATCGCGCACAAAAAGTTTTTAATTACGAAATGGTTTTATTATTATATAGAAAAGAGAGAAAAATTATTTTTGACGTATATTGTTTTATAAAGAGAGAGTCTGATAATAATGCAGTTAATAATTTTAAAAAATGTATTAAACGTATTTATTTAATTTTTTGTAAGTCGATTAAACATTCTACACTGAATCAAACATATTTTAATAATAAATAGAATTCTATTTAAGGATATACTATCTAATATATTCAACACTGCGTCCTCATATGGCTTTCACGTCACCCACGACGATTTAATGGAAGGAGTTACAACCTTACTTTAATTTGTTGTAGTTTTTATATATAAAGATTAAAACATTTTACACTGAAACAAATATGTTTTTAATTCTATTTAATGACAAAGAATGATGATTCTATTTAAAATAAAATAAAAAAATAATATTTTTATATAATATATTTTTCAATGTCCCTACCAATAACTAATATTTGAAGCCGCGAGCGAAATGCTATGAAAAATAAAACAATAGGCTAAGTACTTTTGAGCGTGAGTATACCCATGCGCAAACATACCTCCTCCACTTTCTTCCAGCGTTCTATTTAGATGACGCGAGTTATACCTACATAGTCTTGATCATGACTTACATTTTGTATTTTTTTAATATGTAGGTAACTAGGTAATGACGGTTAAAAACTCGGTACTAGATGGCGTACCCGTTACTCAGTAACGAATACATACGGTTTGCTACAGCTCTAGATTTCACCAAGTTGTGATTTGTAGCAGCCACTATGAATTTAAGTAGCAGGTGACGTATGATTACGCATTTCACGTGATTTTTCACTTGCTACTCGTGAAATGTTCCATCCCTAGTAGGTAATGATATAAGAAATTAACCTATGTTACAGTTGTAAATCTAACCTGAACATTATGTACCAGAGGTACAAAACCTTTTGAAAAAAATTTGAATTGATTTGAATATGTTCTTTGGCTGTGTTTTGGGCAGCAAATAAGGTAAGTAATCGTTTCTAATTTTTTTTTAAATGGAGTTTTTATTTCTAATTTATGACACTCTGGATGCTTGTTGTTTTAATTATTTTGAACAATTACGTTCCGTTACATGTTATTTCAAGGAAGAGAAATATTCTTTAAAAAGAGCAAGATTGGGCGCTAAGAGCTATAGTTTTTTGTTGGGCGCTCACAGAGCCAAAAAAGTGTCAGATCTAGCGCCGAAAGCGCTAAGTTGGCATCACTCATAGGTAACTTTTTACTGAAGTTAAAACATGTTTTATCTATGTTTCAAAATGAAAATCAGTATATTGTACATAAGCGTTAATTTCATAATCACACAATTTTAAACTACAATTAACTTGAAAAATAGTGGAAAAAATACTTAAATGTAAATTGTCACATTTTAACACAAAATATTTTCATCCTACATAAATAATTACTAATACTCTTAATAGCTTTGACTTTAAATAATGCATATAAATAATAATTTTATATTTCGTATGTACTATGTACTTTTGAAAATTCATAAATTAAGTTTTTTTAGATTTGTATATATTTGGAATGAAAGAAATATTATTTGATATGGCAGCACTATTTCAATTGAGGAATGAAGTCTGAAGTTCAAAAAGTAGACAAATAGTAATTCAACATTACGTCAAACAAATTTCTTTTCGTCAATGATGTGAAAATTAGTTTTAATATTATCTCATATCATGAAGCAATAGTCAGTGTAACAGCATGGATAGTGTTACTGTAAATATCAAATTTGTTAAAATATGTCTTTGTTTACAATTTAGTGTTTTGGTGATTACATATTATGTTTTCTTTGTTCCAGAATTTTTCTGTTTCTCTCATTAAGGGATTTATAGACAGTTTACGAGGTGTAACTGTCTTATTATATTTAGATAAAGAAATCAATGAACGAGCTCTCAGTCGGTCTCCACCGGTCGATTTTGAAAATAGTAAACATAAACATAAGCAACCAAAAGTTAAACAGTAAGTAACTGCTATATATAAATTGCAGTTGCATGCACTTTAAAAACCGTTTTTGATACCATAACTTTAAATAAACGAAGCTACGAGATTAAAGATTTTCATGTTTTAATTACTTTCTACAGTACAAAGTTCATCAATAGTTTAAGATTATAAATATACAACATTAATCCATCCATTATAATCCATTGAGTTTATTTATCTGTTTTATATTACTTTTTAGAATATTGTAAAAAGTGAATCAGCTTATTAGTATTATAATTAAAAATTTATACATTGTATACACAAAAAAATTTAATCACTTTTAATTTATGTTACTATTTTAATATGATCTGATAATATGTATAATTTCAAATATATACAGTGTTCAACAATGATTACTTAGTGGTTGTACCTAGTGTGCTTAATGTAATATATTCAATCTGAACACTAAATAATCTTTTAATGAAATATTTACACCCTACACTCTCTAATTACCATAAATTATAAATATATAATATATATGACATATTATATCTTGAAAAAAAAAACAAATCTTTACTTAAAATATCTGTTACAGGGAATCAAAAGTACTTACTAGGGTTCTACAATCATGTATCCTTAATGGATTCATATTTTTGTTAAGTATACTTATTTTTGAGTATGCCCTACTTCCCGGTGTCAAGTACTTAGTTATCCTTGTTTTTGGCCACAATCCTGGTGTGGCACATAATGTATGGAGCTGGATGCAGCCATTTTTGTCTATGACATTTAGGATGATATGGGTTTTGCCGCTGTTTCTGCTTAGCAAGCTTGTTAACAGCTTGTGGTTCCAAGTAAGTTTCGATCATTACTAATGTATTAATTACTTTCACATATTTTATGTATAATTTACTTCTTATGAATCATACTAGGGTAAACAGGAATATGCATGTTTTTTTTTTTATATTTTGTACGATCGTTATATATGTAAAAATCGCAAACACCAAACATTAGCACTCTATTATAATACACTGATGTCACATTCGGTCTGACTATTGGCAATGTGTTTCAACTACTTTGAATTAGCTACTACTACTTTTACTAATTATTTTCTATTATATATCTATTACTTTTTAATAATTATTTTTATAATAAACAAATCATATTAAAAAATATTGATGTAAACTTGATTCAAAATCAAAAGATTATGTAAAAAAATATTTCACCTTTAAACCACATGCTTATTCCCACTTGCTAAATGTGAGGTGACTTAACAATAGGGAATGACCATGACATTAATTAAAATGTTAAAAATTACAAATACATATGCTCTTCAATGGCACAAAACAAAAAATACAGTGAAGAGTCACTGTATTGTACACTATCTAAATCACATGAGATACTATTTTTTTTTATTGTGTCATCAATATCACTTAATAATACAATATAATAATAATATACTAAAATATAATATAATAATATAATAGCTTCTTGGGAATCACTTAAATACTCATATAATATATATTTATACTTGATATTATGTTGGTTGTAGGATATAGCAGATTCAGCATATAGACATCGCAGAGGACGGCCACAGTTTATGTCTAGTGTCAGCAAAATAATTGCCGACTCACTTTTTAGTCTTTTGGTGCAAGCACTATTTTTAGTTCAGGTAATTCTAATTATACTTTGCATGTGTGAATATTTTAAATTTTAAATAAATAATAAAGGTAATTCTTTCTCTCACCAACTTTATCCAACAGAAACAGTAGTATATAGTAAGTATTAATCTGAGTGCAACTAATATCTCAGTCCACACCAGGGCTCGGAAACCCGTTCAATTTTTCATCATCAACAAATTGATAAATGATTTTTCGGTTTAAGGTTTTGGTTACGTCCTTTAACCGGCTAAATCCCGGAAAACGGTTTTTGACGAATTTATGTTCAATGATCCAAATTAATCGGTTAAAATGAGTTTTTGTGCATTTACATTCAGCAAATCTTTACGGATTATGAATGGCGTAGTAGAAGGATACATCTACTTTTGTTACTTATAAATGAATTAACCGGTTTATTACGGTATCAAAACCGAAATCCAACCTTTCTCTAAGAATATAAGAACCGTTAACCATTACTATTCCAATTAACTAGACCAACGGTAAATAAAGAAGCGATGAATTAATCAGTACATTACCAAAATAAGGCTTTTTTAAACCGGTTCTGAGCCCTGGTGCACACAAATAGAATGTTTAATGCTTTATACACCTACTTCCCTATTGGTCTTTATACCTAAATTATTAGTAATAGGATGATGAAACAAAAGGAATATTATTTTTTTCTGCACTTTACCTGCATTGCTAATGAAAAAAAAATTAACACAAGTAATTCTATTTGCAGAGTATGCTAGTCAGTATGTTGCCAATAACATACATAGGAGAGTTGCTTTGTCTCGTCCACATGTGCCTACTTTATTCCTTGTACTCGTTTGAGTACAAGTGGTTCAACATGGGCTGGGAATTACATAAGCGACTAACATTCATTGAGACCAATTGGCCATATTTCTTGGGCTTTGGTCTACCATTGGCTGTTTTGACGCAAATACCACAATCTTATATTATAAGGTGAGTTATATTAAATTAACATGGAATTTAAGTGTAAAAGTGGCCTAACATTAACATCAATTTTTATTGAATGATTAATTTATACAATTGTACTAGCGGACCCGACAGACGTTGTCCTGTCTACACGTCTTTAATTTGAAAATCTCAAACTTTTTTTAATAATTTTTTTGATGAAAATTATAATTCAAATTGTGAATTATTACATTATCCATAGAATGTTCTTCTACTGTTCTATTCAATCGATGATCATGAACTAATTGCGCGTGCTGAGTACGTCGACCAATATTTCTTGCTCTTCCACAAAGACGTGGCATTTTTCTACAAAAATAAAATATTGCAAAATAATATACAATGAATATGAGTTACTTATTGATAATGAATTTTTAATTAATTAACTCAAAAGATTTATTATGACAAATTTTAGATAAAGAACATGTAATCGCATTTTGTGAGTTTTTTTATTTAATATCTCCAAAAATGAATTAATTGTCAATAAAAATAATTAAAAAAATTCAATCCTCTAACTACACAAATAAACTTGAAGGTTATGTTGGTTGTTAATAAACGCACGTGTAAATTAAAAAAGATAATTTATAAAAAATATACTCACTTCGATTCCGCACTAAATTTACAAAATGTATAAGTTATTTATATACACTTCAGAACTCTTCGAAAACTAATAAATATTTTAATTAGCAACTTCACTTGAATAACACAATTATAACACAAAATAACGAAATACTTTTTCAAATTGATCGTAGCACTATCTGTCGGGACAAACTAAAATTAAAATAGAATAATATTGAATGCGATGGTAGCGCCATCCGTCGAATCTGATGTAAAACATTCCAAAATCAAAAACTCCTTACAAATAAAAATTAATTAAAAAAACATCTGAATTCACAAAATTATTTATACACACTTCAAAACTCTTTACAAAATAATTACATTTAATATTTTAATCAGCACATGAATTGAATAACAAATTTTTTTCAAATTAATCGTAGCACCATCTGTCGGGACAAACTAAAATTGAAATAGAATAATATTGAATGCGATGATAGCGCCGTCCGCCGGATCTAATGTAAAACATTCCAAAATCAACAACTCCTTATAAATAAGAAATTAATTGAAAAAACATTTTCCAGTAGACCAAACTGTAAATCTAAACCATTCTCGAATCTCCACGAACACACACAAAAAAATTCATCAAAATTGGTCCAGTCGTTTAGGAGGAGTTCAGTCACATACACACGCACACAAGAAATATATATATTAAGATAATAATACTTATCTATTATATATATAAAAATGAGTCACTATTTCCCATGGTCACGCCATCACGCGTGAACGGCTGGACTGATTTAACTATTTTTTTAGAATATTCCTTGAAGTACGAGGATGATTCTTACGGAGAGAAAAATTTAAAAAATTTCCTGTAAAAGTTTAAAAACAACACTTTTCTATACTCCCATACAAAAGATTCGTAATAATACTTAAAAGTCAACTTGAACTTTAATACCATACCATAAAGTTTAAGTGTTAGTGGAGAGGTTCCGGGAAGGCAAAACAATTGAGTGACGTTAGTATCGTATAAATATTAATGTCAATATTTGTCAATATTATTCACAAAAAAAAATTATATGATTAACGCTGGCTAATAACTATTTATATCTATTTAAAACGTACGATGTTATTTCGTTACTACGCAATAAATATACTTATTTATTTTGGTTTAGTGGAAAATGTGACTTAGGTCACTTTTATACTCGTACTGACTGCTTGCATAGATTTTGATAGTACAAACTACAATTAAGTACCATTGATTGATATATACATATTTTATTAACCTTCATATCAATGATTATTTTATTCAACATATTTAGTAAGGGCAAAGATTTCCATTAAATTATCTGCTTACGTAATAGATAAGAACATTACTCTGTACAAATCTCTACTATTAATGTTATCAGCTTCCGCATACCATAATGTCGTATGTATTATTTGTCGCTATATATGTGAAATAATAGTTATCAACCGTTTAGTGAAGGTGTAATTTTGTTTTTAGCTATTTAAAGTTTACCTAAAACTTTTAACTTTCATCAGATACCTACAATAAAAAAAAAACTAAACCTAAACACTATTCATATTCACCTTCTGGCTCATCTTTAGATTAACTTGATGGGGTCTAATCACTTAATACATTCCCATAAATATTATAAATACGAAAGTTTGGATGGAGAGATATTTATTACTCAATCACGCCATAACGGCTGAACGGATCTAGATAAAATTTTTCACAGAGATAGATTATAGTCTGGAATAGCACATAGATTATTTTTTTATCACGGAAAATTGTACGGTTCCCGTGGGATATGCATACTAACCGCTCAAATGTACCTAGGGACAAAGTCGGTAGTTATATAATGCCGGTTTTATGGTACACAAAACAACCGTTAGCAGTTAATTCTATAGCTACAATTGAAGCGATGAAGCAGGTGAATGAAACCTTATAAAAAGTTACCAAAAGTACAAACATCTTATTGTTTTCCAAGTTTTATCATGAATTTTAAACAAATTGTAATTATGATAACTGAAGTGAGGGGTCAAGATGTAAATGTTATTAAAATACAGTAATACTATTCCATCTATGTATGAACATAAAGAATATGTTTTAAAAGATGAAAATAATAGCTATGCCATAATAATATTATACCTGTTTATCAAAATGGTAGTTTAAAAAAGAAAAATCTAAAAATATTTTAAAAAAGTAGATTTCTTTTTTAATATGATAATATAGGATGGAAGTCCTGGGTAAAATTTAGATTTATATTATTATTTGTTAGGTATTAAAACTAAAGTATATTACATACTTATAATAAGTTAACGTGTTTTAATTACAAAAACATTGTTGAGTTTGTTGTATATTCAAGATTATCCTAGACAGCAATAGTTTGTCAGTGAGAGTTTGTAAGGCCTAACAACTAAATAAATGAATAGTGACAAAAATTATAATCTGTTTTCTTTATCATTATGCTGTTTATCTGCACGATCTATTTTTGTATTGTATTCACCCATTTTTAACGTCACACTGCTGAGCACGGGCCTCACTTTAATACGAAGGGATCAGGCCATAGTCCACCACGCTGGACAAGTGCTAGTTGATGGACCGCACATGCCTTTCGAAAAGTTCTCTCAGACATGCAGGTTTTCTCATGATGTTTTCTTTTCTGTAAGAAAAGTGGTAATGATGTTGGAAATGATTCGCATATGAGAATATCAGAGGTGCGACACCCGAGATTTGAACCCGCTTCACTCGTTTTCCCAAACGAGCGCGTTACCACTGGGCTACCAGGGCCTTTATTACGCACGAGCTATTATATATATTTTTAAATGTTTATATTACAGACGCTAGGGAAATCTTAACATGAGCAATATGAATATTATAATTTGCTTTTTCATTTATGATAATATTATTTAATACGTTTACGTTTATTGTGTACTTTAATATTTTTTTACTTCGAAAAATACTGCTTGTTAACATTTTTCATATTAAGAGGCTATCATCTATAATAATTAATTTGTACGGCTTTTAAAAGTATTTATTATTGAATGAAAAAATTTAATGAATAGTAAAATTAATATGTGCTCACCTGAGGACAATAAACAGATGTATCTTTTCTTTATATTAAAGGCAAAAAGGTAATTTTCGCCTCAACACCCAAATGCATTTTAAACCGCGTAAAAAATTATGAAATATACTAAAGAATAATAACTAACATATTAATTATACCATTTCCAGTGGTTGTGTGTTCTCAATATTCTTCCCGGTGTTTATACTGAGCGGGAACGAGGCAACGCCGGTCGCGGGAAGGTGAGCTTTTATATTAAACTATTTTGGTCATTATTTGTGTAATAACGAAGTTTACATTTTTTTTCAATTTAAACAAAAATTAAGCACATTTTTTTTAATATCGTTAAATATGTACTATTACTAGTTATGACAATTTCCATTTAGTTCATAATTTTTCACATATACGCGATCCGCATATTATATCAGAACATGTGGAATGGTGAGCTCATGCTAAAAAATTGGTTATATTCAAGTGATTGCAGTTAATCATTATTTATTACAGGAAAAATCATTAATATCTGTCCAGTCGTTTTCAAAATATGCGATAATTAACTAATCTTCTTATTACACAAATATTTAGAAAATATATTTAATGTTTAACTTTGATCTCGCTACAATTTTATTGTACCGTAATCATTTTGTACAGATAGTTAAAACTAGAATTTGTAAAAAAAATCTTAAATATTAATTTGGAATATTTTGTATGTTTTTACTTTTTATACATTCCTTTGAACGGTCATAATATGTTTATAATTTATATGTATATAATATGGCAAATTATTTGCTGCTATGACCTATTTCAAGAGTGTCCTCATTTATCACCCGGGCTCCCGGTAGATTACAATTTTACTTAGTTCGTATAAAAATATATATTAAATACTAGTTTTTGCCTACGACTCCTCTGTCGTGATAAATACGCAGTTATTTTTTAATTATTTTATTGTTCTGTTACTTTTATATTTTGTTTAATTTTGCTTTATATTTTCTAGTCTTAATCATATTATGTATTACATACTAATCAACTTAATAGGGAATATGCGTGTGATTTAAATAAAAGTATTTTTTTATAATCTCTTTTGCTTCTGATTTTTTTTTGATTAAGAAAATAATTATTAAAAAGTGTAAATATAGGTGGGAAATTCAAAGTAGTTGAAACGCACGCCATTGGTCAGACCGAATATAACGTCAGAGTATTATCATAACAGAGTAATTAGCGATTTTGTCGCTTCAAACTAAACTAGTAATTTTTTATGAAGCGCGTGATATTTAAAAAAAATATGTAAATACTAAATTTTAGTTTTTTGGAGCTGGATATTTTTTTTCAAACTATACAACAATGTTAGTTATTGTATAAAAATAAAAAAAAATCATACATATTCCGTATTGGTAAATGTACGTATATTATTATTGTAAATTTTATGTGTTATAACAAACATCTTATAAAATTGTTTTTTTTTTCTTTAAAAATAAATAAATAATATGTGATTTCACAGCGAATATCCCCTACGCTTGTTTTCTCCCGTCGTCGCCATATCCAACGGTATGTTCCGTTTCGTTCGACACAGCGCCGACGACAAAAGGTGATAGCGCACATACAAACGTACCTACAATATTATATATAAACGATTAATATTATACATATATTATATTATATATAAATATAAATTCATTAATGCGAGTGTTTTCGTCACTAGAGCGCGTTACTGTTCGTATAAGTTTGTCATACATTTTTGCGACTTTTCTGTTTTTACATTTATAATTGTTACTCTTTATTTGTGCAATATTATAAAACAAATCTGACTAACCAATTTTTGAAGTTATACTTTTTTTGGCATGTTTGGAAAAAATATGAGAGTAAATTTAATTTTTACAATGTTATGTTAGCTGCATTCCGTTATACAAACAGAGAGTTGTGACATACGGGATGAAATCTTTAGCTATTTTTGTTCAGTTACGCCAAAGAAGTATATATCTTCTTACGTGCGTACATAAGTACACACACACACACTTTTTTTTTATTTTGATTATGTTTCTCTGATAAAATGTTTTTTTTTTCGAAATTTATATTAATAAATAAATCAAAAATAGCTAATTTTTAGATGACGTTTTTTGTTAAGCAAAATATGTATGACAAATCTCTCTCATAATTCTGATACCAGTGTATTATTCCGTAGAAATGTAAAACAAACATTAAAATGTATAATTACAATATATGTAATAATTGAAAGCTTTGACTAAAAATTTAAAGACATTGAAAGCAGTTAACACAACACAAATAAGAAACAAGAAAATGAGGGAAAAGTAAAAAAAATGAAACATATCATAGAAAATATGTAAAAGACAAGTTATAACAACTGCATGTTTTTATTTACAGGGTGTTTATGGTCTTGCGTTGTTCATAGCTTTATTAGTAATTAAATTGTGTGAAAATTATTTGTACATATGTACATATATACTATATAATATATGTATTTGTGGTCCAAATATTTTGATTAAGTTTAAAAATTTGAAGTATGGGTAATTCTTACATTAAAAAGGGGATATTATGTCATTTTTTAAAGGAATGATTCCAAGTCTTATATTTCACTTTTTTTATTTTGTCATCTGTTTTCATACAGTCTCTTCCATTGAAAATTACTTCGTAAAAAAAACAGTGTTCTTGATAAATTATATGCAACGTGCTACCATTCAAATTAACTTCCTCGATAAGAAGATATTATATATAACTAGCGGCTCACCCTCGCCTCTAGGAAAACAAGAATAAACCTATCCCACGGGAACCGTACATTTTTCCGGGATAAAAAGTAGTCTATGTGTTATTCCAGACTATATTGTCTATATCCGTGCAATTTCATCTAGATCCGTTCAGCTGTTCTGGCGTGATTGAGTAACAAACATCTAGACTCATAAACTTTCACATTTCGGTACCTTAATTGGCAAACCAGCCAACTGCACATTTCGTCAAAAAATATTTTTTTGGTTTAGATTGTACGCAACAGTAATTCAGTAGGATTATTTTAGTAGGATTTTACAGTCTCATAAATAACAGCTACGATATTATCTATTAACAGTATTTTAGATTTTTTATAAGTATAATAAAAAAATATATTATAAAGATCAGCAGTACAGAAATGTACTGCGCCGACCCCAAGTGATTGGGAAATGGGCAGGGAGAAGAAGAAGATAATAGAAAAATATATTATAAAGTTTTAAGTGTCTCCTGGAAATTTGCTCTTATGGAGTTAGCTAACTGACGTCATATTGTTTTACATCAAATATTTATTTGTATTAAGATTAACACTAAGACGGCACCTTACATTAGCTCGTTGTATTTTAAATTTTTCAATCATAAACTGTCATAATCATAAAAAAATTATATATATATTGGGGTGACCAAGTCTCTATGGGAAATAACATGATCTATACTAATATTATAAATAGGCTAAGTTTGTTTGTTTATTTGAACGCGCAAATCTCAGGAACTGCTTATCCGATTTGAAAAATTCGTTTTGCATTAGGTAGCGCGTTTTTTGAAGAAGGCTTATATCATGGCAACCCCGAAAAATGTACTGTTCCTCGTGGGAATGATTTGTTTTTCATAATACTTTCTTAGATTTACGCGAATATTTGACTATCTTTTCGGATTTGATCCGGATCGGAGAGATAGGTCTCTCCCCGGACCATGATTGCTGTAAAGCATTCAAAACGTCGGGAACCAAAAATCAAAATAAATTCGCGAAAAAATCCGAAAAGATAGTTTTATTTAATTTGTTTTTGTCTAGGGGCGAACCTAAAACGAAGCAGGGGTGAGTCGCTAGTGTAATTATAAAAAGTAGGGAAAGATAACTAAGAAGGAAGTCAATTTGAATAACAGTGCATTATAATTGTTTTTGAAGTAAACATATAAATAATGATTGTGTACATAAAATATAGGCAGCTCTAACTTGACGTGTACTGCGCACGAGTCGATTTGTTTACGTATAGGTATGTACATGAGTTGTGTCACTGCAATTTTTATTACTATATATTAGTTCGTGTAATATACTGAAATAATGGCTATCTATTAAAAATCAATAATATTGTTATTTCTTATTCTTTTATTCACATTTATTTGTATATTTTTTATGTATTTGTTTATTGCGATGCTACGTCCCCGATTCTCCGGTAGATAGATAAAAAATAATTAAACTGTCATCTGGCATTCTTTTAATGAACCCTGCGGTTATAATTTTGATATAATCAATACTTTAGCACTTTTTTTTTATTATCTTATCACATTGATTTCTACGAATAAATAATAAGTCAAAAAGTCTAATTCAGAACAAATTGTACACAAAAATGGTCCTACTTCAAACCAAAACGATGTAATAATTGACTGACTTCATTTTACATAGTATTGAAAATCACGGTTTGACAATGTATTTGTCATTTGAATATATTAATTGAATATAATTATTATAATTTTGCTACAACTTACTAGTGAAAAGTGATTCCTGGACATTTTAATTCTGTATGGCTCCTGCACAACTTCACAAAACATGCAAACATGATGATTCACAGCTTCACAATGATAAAAATTTAAACGTACGCGAAAATTTGACATGTGCTCGCTTGCAAGAACAATAACAGACTGTGACGCGCAGGACACGACTTTTAAGCCTCTCCTACTTGAACACGAATTTTGTTGGGTCAGTTTTTAACGCAGTTACATTTTCTGACTTATATTCGTAGCATGATATATAATTATTAGAACTTTAATAATATTCATTTTGCTGTTTTTCAGAAAAAGCTTAAACATACTATTGAGTATTTTCATAACATACTTCTAGGTTTGGAAATCAAATTCCATGCGCATAAAATCCTTCGGGATAGAGTGCAATTTTTTTTTTCAATTACAATACAGTGATGCAATCCCTTGCTAGTATACGTGTATATTTAGATTTACTTGCAGTGACGAATAACCAATGGTGCCTGGATTGTTTGTCGACGTCAATATATAATTATTTATTACGATTTTAATCGTAACACAATATCGCTTTGTAAGTTTAATCCTAGCGTAATCACTCATTCTGAATAGAAAATTGTGATTTTATTTTTACATGACATTATTTATTAAAGGAATTGACTGATCATTGATATTTTTGTTTTATTTAATAACCTTTATTCTGGACTAATAATTGTATATAATAACTAGCATTGCCCGCGTTCAGACGAACAAAAACCAAATTCTTAGGTTTTACATACTAATAAACTCTTACATTGCAGTTTTCTGTGTTAATGTCTATTACAATAAGATTTTCCATAAAATATTTAATGTGCAGATTTGGCTAAGTTGCAATTTTATGATAAGTATTGATATTATTTATTTATTAACACACATTGTTTTTCGGTATCTAGGCAACGGATGGCAATTGTTTTTCGACTCTTATTATCTTTAATTTCGAGTCAAAATAATATCTATATTCTTAATAAAATAATTATTTAATTCTCATGAACGAATTAGTCTCTAATTCGTCCATGTTAATTCTGAGCGGAGATTGTCAATTGAGATACCAAAATATAATATATATAGTTTTGTGATCTGTTATATTATATATGATATTGCACATTTCCGCTCTATTAAACACTAAAAATATCTAAAGTCGGTAACAGTAGGAACGCAGTATATAAGTGTATAATCTATGGTAGGAACGCAAGTGTAGTTAAAATCACTATTTTAGAAATAAATTAAAAAATTAAACAATATCGTAAACATATAATGTCTTTATTGACACAGGATTAGATATGTCATTACATTTATATAAACATAGTTTTTTAATATCAAAAATTACATTTATTGCGTATCATGATCGGCAGACATTTTTCAAAATGTCCTCAACGGTGAATTAACCTTTTAGTTTCTGCTAAGCATTTGCCGGTCATTATACCATAGAAAAAAAAATATAAATACCCAAATTATAAACAAATTGTACAAGATTATTATACAAAATAACTTGTTACTAAAATATATTTAGTTATTATCAAGTTTGGTAAAAATTATAAAATATGTTTGTCATAGGTTTTTTAACACCTTTGTAAAAAAAACAACTATTTTTAAATTACTGTATTGATTTTTTAGTGCAATAAAGAATAGTAATATATTTAAGTTAAAAAATCCTACACATTCATTTGATTACTCATATAGTAACTAAAATGAATCGACATCTAGAAAAATATATACATATTTTGTTTTGAGTATAATACTATTTAGTAGTTAGTAATGGTAACACTAAAGACGCATTTCGTCTAATTTAAATAACGTAATACAAAAGCTATCAATCCTTTCTTTTTGAAAAGAAACTTTTTAACAGATGTCATTAAAAGGTCCAAGGCTTTAATTGCGACTATTTTTAAATGAACTACATATTAAATTTATGAGATCTACCTGAGCGACACAATATGCATGTTAGTGCAAAGTAACCTAAACTTAACAATTCATATAAATATGAATATTTATTTATTTATACAGGTAATACTCTCATTTACTAGTGCTTTTCTATTATTTTTGCGAGAAATTAAGTAATTTTGTATAGAAACTACATAGTTACTGACGGTCCTAAAAAGCGATGTAAATGGAATATCCTTGGATTTTTTACATTTAACTTACAATAAATCTATGACGGAATGCAATACACTGAGTACAATGGCAAGAATTTGTGTCATTCATCTACTTACTTATATATTTAAAAAAATATTACTTTTTAATGTTGCCAGATATAAAATTAAAATTTTAAGACAATGTATGTGACATGTGATCCAATAGTTTAAAAGGTATACATATTTACATATATTTCGTAGCTCAATTTTGCTTTTTTATCAAGGCAGCTTTAAAAATAAAACAAAATAGCAAAATCTAAAATATTTCTACAGAGGCATTTTTATTTATTTTGATACCTTATTTACTTGACATTACATACATACCATAAGACATTATATTATATAAAATATAACAAAGCTTCATGAAATTAATATATAAGTAAAACTATCAGCAAAACACAGAAAAAATGTATGCCAGGCCATTTATAAATTGACAATGTTTTGTTATTTAAATGTTTATCGCTCTGGCAAAAAGGTTTTATATAATAATTTTATAAGTTATATTTTAACACATATAACTCCTTCAAAGAATACATATTATACAGCATAATTATCTAAACATCAATTATATATATATATACACACACAATAATTTAATTTTTTTATTAACATGTTTTAGTTTAATGTTAGTTTGTTTTGACGACACGTTTGGCTCAGTTTGTAGTGTACCCTACTTGCTGTGCCAGAAGTCGCGGGTTCGAGTCCCACTGGGTGCATACATTTGTGTGATGAGCACGAATGTTTATATTTATAATATGTATTTAAATTATATATGTGTAGCGTATCAAATATCTGGTATCCATAACCCAAGCGTAGCTTACTATGGAACTAGGTGGTGCTGTGTGTTAATGTCACAACATTTTTTTTAATATTCGCATCAAGTTAGAATCGAATTTGTAAAAAGCATAGAGTGAAAATGATTAACAGCTGATCAATTAGTGACCAGAATTATTTAAAAGTAATTATATAAACACATACTTAGTATCTACTACATTACATCTCATTTGTTCCAGTGAACTATGTACGTACTTGTTGTTTGTAGATAGTATTTTATTTATGTGTATGTTATATAATACTTTTTTCTTATAATAAATATTTAGTACATGAAAGTTTTTGATTTTTGATAAAAATTTCTGGGAACTTTCTTTTAAGAACGCATATCAGGATGCAATGACAGCCCCTACCGTACCTTTATAAATATTTTCTACTATAACTATATTTTACTCGCGAATTCGCTTGTGTTTACTTGATATTTAATTTATATTTTAGCAGTAGGGGAAAGAGTTCTTTACATGATAATGAAATATAACAATTTATTTAATTCTCTTCCAAATACTAGATTAACTTTAATATCATATTCATACTTTAATAAAACTATCTTTTCGGATTTATTTTTACTTTTGGTTTCTGAAGTTTCGATCATGTTCAAAAAGAGTTTTTTTCAGTTTTATTTAAATTGTCGTATATTCGCGTAAATCTAAGAAAGTATTATTTTATTACTTACGAGTATATCTTTATATATATAATTCTTCTGTGAGTGTGTATGTCACTGAACTTCTCTCAAACGACTGGACCGATTTTGATGAAATTTTTTGTGTGTGTTCAAGGGGATCTGGGAATGGTTTAGATTCACAATTTTGTCCGCTGGACAATGTTTTTTTAATTAATTTTTAATTTATTAGTAGTTGTTGATTTTGGAATGTGTTACATTGGATCCGACAGACGGCGCTACCATCGCAGTGTAGACAGGACAACGTCTGTCGGGTCCGCTAGTTCAATATATAATAACTACTTCATGTGCTATAACTTCCAAAAATAGGACATTCTTACATTTCTATCTTTTATTTTATTTATTTATTAATAACTAAATTAAGACTATTAATTAATTATAAAAAATAAAAATTATATTAAACCAGAATAAAGAAGATATTTTAAATCATAATAGAAATAAAAGTGTTAGTAAATAAACATAATATGTAGGTACGGGAGTCTTTTACGAATTATACTTTCATGTATTGACTAGAACTAGTATTTTTATAAAGAAAAAAGTTTATGATATGAGTCTTTAATGGACAAAAACTGAAATAAAAAGAAAATACATGTTAAAAATCATCTATTTTTTTATTATGTAAATGTAATGTTCTGAATACAAGATTTTTTAATTATTTAAATTAAAAAGAGAATAAGGTATGTAATAAAATCTTTTTAGATTTTCTCGTGGTTTTATTTTCTTTTTTATTCCCGAACTTTCGAATGCTTTCAAAATAAATAGAAAAAGGCAAGAAAATCTAAAAAAACTACTTCTATTTAAAATGTCAAATATTCTATAAATATAAGGAAATATTAATAAAATAAATGTGAATTGAACTTCAACAGCAAAACATCACTATTGTACTATGGGAATGATATCACATTATAATAGCGAACTATACACTAAATTAAAATAAAATCAAGCACCAAAAGTTACAAATAATAAATCACAGATAAAAATCTTGCTTATAAAAGAAAACTATTAAATGTCTTAATTGTGAAATAACAATTTTATCTTATATTATAAAAAAAATTACTTAAAATAGGTATAATATCACTTGCATTAACTAAAAAAAAATAACTATCTATATAATTATCTTATTAAACATAGTATGCACTGTTATGTCAATATTAAAAATTAAAGAAACAATTCGTTGAAACAGTTTGACGATAAATAAACATAAATATTTTTGGTGTTTACTAAATATATAAAAGGTTGAGATCATTTAATAAAAGTTAAAGTTGCCAACGTTCAAAAATGCTATTACCGTAAAAAAAACAATACAAAAAATAGACAAAGATGTACATATTATATTCATTCATATTCCTTTATTTAATAATTAATTATTAAATTAATATATTTATATTACATAGTATAAACAAGTATTTAATTACTTAAAAGCTAATTATAACTATCGTGCGATAGTGTCGTCGAACTTATATTTATTAAACTCTAAGTCAAATTGACCGTTTTTCCAGAACGCATACAGTCAGTCACTGAGAGAATCTTACCTGAATTACAAAAATGACTTATTTATTTAATTAAATTACTGACAAAAAATATATATTTAAGCTAAAAATGATTGAAAACTCTACTTTTGCTCGTTAAAATAATTTACAAAGGAATCGTGAAAATGGCTTCAATCTGGGATGTCATTATTTTCATACTTCACGTACATGCATATAATAATACGCATTGACACTGTAAGTAATCTCAGTTAACATAAAAAATCAGCTAGATTGCCATAACTAAAAAAAACAAGTTGAAGAATTTTCCATGAATTATTCTATAATTATATTAATATAAAATAAAATGATTTTATCAGCTTCTGAATATAGACGTTTCGGAAAAAATATATTTATACGAGTAACATTAAGAAAGTAATTACGTATATATAAGCATTTATTTCATTGGATCACATGTCATATACAATACACATACAAATTCCAAGCTATGACATATAAAAGCCCACATTTACTGTCTAAGAAAATGCTTAAAAAAATATTTATTTATGATTGACAATTTCATAAAAATATTTGGAAATAAAACGCTGAGTTTTTATAAACTTAAAACCTAATACATACAACATTTCACGGTACTTCCAATGTAATTACGTAATAATTTCCAAATAACTTAACTTAATGAATATAACAATATAATATCGTCATTTTACTTTAATATATGATAAATCATAACTTGCAAACACTTCTGGGTATAGATTCTTACCCGCCACTCCAAAAACTTCTAAACCCCTACATAATATAAACTCCCTGCATAATATTCTTAGAACTGAGTTCTAAGCAATCATTTTATTTTCTAGAACATTCCTACACTCCATTATGATTTATCACTCACTATACCATAATTAATTTAAGTATTGTACATCACTAGTGTTGCCAGATGCCGTACAGAAAAAGGTGATTTTATGGGCATGATGCCTTGTTTTTAATTTTCATGATATATTTCATTATATTCCAAAACACTATAAAATACATTTATTTAATATTTATTTTGATAATATCAATATTAAATAATCGTAATAAATTTTAAGGATGTAAATATTCCCATAACTCTGCGGGTAATATAATTAATAGGATTAGAACCATTATTATTTCTACGACCCTCTTTCCCTCTTTAATGATTAAAAATATATTTAAAATATCAGGTCTGGCAACACTAATCGTCATCAAATAGCATATAAAGGGAAGATTTTTGATCAATAATACACTTTTAGTAGTTTCATTAGTAATTATTTGATAAAAACCATGGAAGTCGATCTTAAACTACTTCTAATTGTGAACGAATAGGATACTAATTTAATACCATAATCTGATGGTGGAACCGTGGACAGTGGAACTCTTCAATGGCTACTAGTAAAACCTTCGAGTTTGAGCTCCTATGGTTTGTTTTAACGAGTCCCTTACATTACAGTAGGTCAAAAGTGTTTTTTTTTTTACTATAATTATATTCATTGATATACAAAAACTCAAAATATACAATAAGCGTCTCAAAAGTGTCTTCGAAAAAAGCGCACAATTTTAAGTTGTGCGCTTTTTTCTCTCTTTTGTTCATTGCCTTTCGAATGACAATATCAAAACGCACGTTTTTTATTTAAAAAAAGTACTTTACGTGGTGTGCGCGTAAGTTCGAATTTGTGTTTAGACAATTAGAACTTTGGGTTTTTGAATTTCATTCTCAGATTTGACTTAATGTCACATGTCGACGGCACTTTCTGAAGAGATATTTATTAGGAAATGTGTACCTATTTTTTTGTATATCAATATATAATTATTATATAATTTTATTTACAATAATCTCACTAATAGCATACTGACCGCAGCGCCGGCTGTCAAACCGACACTAAGCAAAGTGGCTATTACAGATGACGCCTTCTCCCTCTCATGCATTTCTACCACTCTGGAATATAATATTAATATCTTATAAACATATAAATCATAAATTATAATTTGTTATCCAAGACTAAAATTATATGGACGGAGTCTGCTAAAAATAGTAGTGATTTGCTGTTTATGCTACAATTCTCAATTATGCCATACAGGCCGTTTACTTTTTTCATAGAATGAGAGAAATCCATACAGATAAATAAAATTGAAATGTCTGTTTGTAAATTTTTACAGTTTTGTCTGTTGTGTCTTTTCCGGCTAATTTCCAAAACGGCTGGACCGATTTTTCTCTTCCCCTCGAAAGAGAGAGAAAGCATAATATAATTATTTTTTCTTTATTATGTTAAAATCCGTTACCTATTTTTTATATTAACATTTGATAACTTAGTGCTCATTACCCAAATCATCATTTAAATACTATTTTAAAACGTTATTGTTTGGCATCATGTTTAGTTCTATGTACTCACCTAGTAGAATTAATCATGACAATATTAGTCAGGTATCCGTTAGTGAATGCGAACACGATCATGATCGCTATGTACTCGTAGTCCCAGAGGAAGACGACCGGCAGGTGCTTGCGCGGCTGAGCGTTGCAGAGCATTAGCATCGGCACGCCCACGATACGGAGCACGCTGGCTGTTGCTATCAACCATTGGTTCATTGGCTGTAGAGAGAATGTTGTTTGCATTCAGCCCTTTTTTTAACGTCAAACATCTGGACTCTGGCCTCCCTCCAATACGAGGGGGATCCGGCCATAATCCAATACGCTGGCCAAAGCCATAAGGCAAATTGTAAGCATGTCGGAAACGATTCGCACATGAAAATATCAGATGTGCGAGACCCGGGATTTGAACCCGCTTCACTTGGTTTCCTATTCGAGCGCGTTACCACTTGGCAACCATTGCCGTTAGAAGAGAATGTAGATTTTTGTTATTTTACCTCTTTTTTACCACATTCTATTAACTTAACTGCAATCTAATAAAATCCTGGCTAAATATTCCGGTATTATTCTTTGATATTTGTAAATTGTATGAAATCCGATGAGGACAATGATGATGATGGAAGAAAATGGGATTGATTAATTCTTAAAAATAAAGAATTGAAGTTTGGGCTCATTTGATTAGTTTTGACAAGTTTCATTGATTACAACTCGTCAGTGTATTTTTTAAAATTGCTTTGTTGTTGAGAGCAACTTCAGCCTGTAGGTAAACGCTTGTAATACTAGAGATAATATTTCATTACATAAAATGGAGTGAAAACATTGAAGATAAATATTGCCGATTTCGAAGCAATTCTTATTAATTTTTATTGAAAATACCAAACAAAATGTACACGTGCTATTTTAATTTCCTCAAATACAAACTTCCCTTTTACAAAAGTAAAAAAAAACAATTGTTACGTGAATCTTAAGACAAAAACAACAAAATATCCCTTCTTAAAGATTATAATTAACTTCAATGACATGGCGTTATATAAATATTTAATATATTGTTACTCTTACCCGCAGCAAAAAGCCAGCAACAAGTCTTCCCGCGTAGTCTCCACAGTTGAATATCAGATAATTGACGACAGGGACGAAAAATATATCTGAAAAAAATAATAATATCTAAATACTAGCGACTCAACCTCGCTCCGCTCGGGTTCGTCCCTACGTTACGTTTACAGTTTAATATAGATTTCTCAGAGATGAGATATTTTTCCGCAGTAAAATGTATCCTATATGTTGACCCGGATAACCAGCTATCATCATACCAAATTTCATCAAAATCTCTCCAGTGGTTTTCTCTTGATGCTGTCACAAACAGACAGACAAAAATACTAAAAACAATAGATTTGACCTCTGTATCGATAATAATGACTACCTATTTCTATAAGATTTTCCAAAAAATATTTAACATACAGATTCAACTCTGTTAGAATTTTATTATATGTATAGATTGTATTAAATTTGTCTCAATAGCTTGGAATAAAAGTTTTTTTTTATTTTCTCTATTTATATTTTACTAGCTATCTACCCTAGCTTCGTCCCTAGTGAACCAAAACAAATCTATCCCATGGGAACATTACATTTTTCCGGGATAAAAAATAACCTATGTGCTATTCCAGACTATCTCTGTGCCAAATTTCATCAAGATCCGTTCAGCAGTTCTGACGTGATTAACAAACATACATCCAAACTTTCGCATTTATAATATTAATGAGATTTCTCAAATATTTCTTTTGTTTTAAAATCTTTAGATGAGCTAATATATAACGAAGTTAAATGTCTAATGAACATTTTTTTTTAACAACGAACTAAAAATCTCGTATTTTCAATGTACATATAATAATGATAGAACTAAATAGGTCATGACGTCATCGTTATTATATTATTATATGTACCATTAGTCAAGACACTATTACGTATGAATCATTTCATTTATAAGAAACATCGTTACTTATATAATACAGTAAGAGCAAACAACTAAAGAGCTATTTGTAATAGATAAATATAATGAAAACTATTTAAATACTCATTATATAAAAATAGTTTTAAGTCCTTATATTTTGCCGACTTCAAAAAAGAAGGATGTAGATATTTCGGTAATGTATATTGTGCGTTTTACACTATATCCTGACCTTTTTGTAGCAATAGGTCACATCATATGGGTGGTCGATACAAATTGCAAAGAAAAAAATCACAATTAAGGATGTTAATAAATACTTTTAAAGCGATTTCAAAGCCAGTGTACCTTTAGTTGAAAAAATCAAACATAAATTACTAAAGAATATTCATTCATTGAACATTTCAACGTCACACAGTTCAAAAATCAAACCGCACTTACTGTTCCAATCAGTGCCCGACGTAACCGGGTGAGATTCAACCAAAACCGTCACAGCCGGATAAACTGCCATGGAAATACCGAATACTGCAAATATACTGAAGGCATAAACCCATATCTTCTTTAGAATCAACACCATGGAAACTTCCCTATGGCGGTTGGGTCCCATACCACAACCCCTTAATATGTGATGCGTGAAAAAGTCAATCTTATATAGCAGTACGTAGGATACCAGAGACAGTACGACCATTATATCGGCAATACAGAAATATATTAGGGCACTGTGGAGGGGGGATATTTTGAAGGCAAGCGATATTATTTGGGCTATAGCTGCTATGATACCGCCTAAGGATTGTCCACTAATCACTGCCGCCATATATTCTCTTGAAAATTTACTCGCTATTCCTACCAGCCCCCCGATGAAAACTGCACTGGCGGCTGTAACAAATAAAAAAAAACTTAGTTATAATAAAATTATCTAGTGACTTACACTCGTTTCGCTCGGATGCACCCCTAGGTACATGCACATAGCGTTGCTACATTTTAATAGGGAAATCTTTTTAAGAGGAATAAGTCTGTAACACACTGTTTTCGTATAACTTTATTAGTTTACGCGGCGCACGCGAATAAAGCTCCTAGTCGGTATATTTTTTTCCGATATCTTCATCAATCATCGTCATATTTCAGTCAATGTAAGCAAAATCTTAATGAATTATTTGGTGTTTAATGCCTTCCTCATGAATTCACTCCATGTATTGGTGAAAACCGTATGAAAATGTGTTCGTTAGTTTTGAGTTTATCGCGTTCAGACAGACAGGCAGATGTGGCTAGGAATTTTATAATATGCAAGGGTGTATTTTTTCGTGCCTTTAACAATTTATAAAACGGAGACGAATTAGATTAAGAATCATAAAATTTGTAAGATAATAAATTAAAGTGAAAAAAGTAAAGAAGAATGAAAATCTTATGAGAATCGCACCTCTTGACTTATAAATATAATATATGTATATGTTGATTGTTGAACTGAACTTAACACTAACATCTAAACTTAAAAGCCTAAGTCTAAGAAGCCGGGTCAAGGTGAACGTTACCTGATATTACCTGATACCAATGACATTATAATATGAAATTAAACTAAATGTGTCATATTCATTAATAAATAAAATTAAATATTTGTAGTACTTCTTTACGTCCACTGCGCAATTAGGGAAAGAAAATATTGCAACATTTGACATAATATTAAAATTGATCGACTTAGTAAATATAAACTTCTTGAACTTCTTATATACGTAGTAAAATATTTGTAGGTACATTGCTTGTATTAAATGAGGTAAATAATATAAACATGCAAACGTTTCACACTAATTATACTGTAATTACATCACATACATATTCACATTTAAAATACAAACAAAACTATTTACTAGTTCTTTATCGCTTCTCTCGAAATATCTTCCTAGTACAGACAGCGATCAGTTACACTTTTATTATATATGTAAAGATCTTATGTTCTTTGTTCTGTGGCTTATAGACGTTCCATTTGGGCACATATTTATTGGTGTTTACAGTTGATCGAAAATATTACAATGTAATATTATTATACGAAAACAACTATCTAGATATTTAGTATTTTTATTCCATCCACATTCATCATTTAATGATAAATCAATATTTTTCCTTGCTTTACAACAACCTTACATATACTTGTCCAAACCACATTTAAGTAGCGATGAGTAATAAAAATATGTTCATATGTATATATTTGTACCTACACAGGTGTTACAATTTCATTTTATAAAAAAAAACTTTAAACAACCTGTTTCAACTCGCATATCCTGGTTTTTAGCTATAAAAATATTTATATAAATACTGGCCACTTAAAATAATGTATCGACTTAGTTATTCGATATTCCGATTTTTAGGCCAGAGTGGGAGGATTTCGACCGACAATGAACCCTTGGACACCGCGATGCATGAACATTCTATAATTTTTTTGCCTGTCATCGTCCATTTAATTTATTTACTACCAGCTTATTATCCCTATACGTCCTTCGTATTAATTATTATGAAGGAAGAGATCAAGGAAGAGTCTCAGAAGGGATGATTCTTAATATTATAATACCACACATTTTAACAGATAATCCTTAGAGCCCAAGCCCTTCCTAGATAATCCCTTTTTCTCAGTATAAACTATATAAAGATTAGTAAAGTAGTTACTGAGAATAGTCCGAAATAACACAGACTGATCGCGGCGGGGGATTCTGTTTATTAATTTTTGTCGATATCTGAAGATGTTTTTTGTTCATACAACGTTTTATTTCCCTTTGTTTAAAACTTATATTTAACGCTGTATAAGAAATCTTGAACATATAAATCCAAACATTAGCGTTAGTGTGACCTACATTAGACCCTGCGAATGTTTTGCATAAAGGGTCAGATTACGAGTCAACCTGTAAGTGCAATCTTTATCTACAATCGGCTAAAAGCTGACTGAAAAATTATTGTAGGCTACTTCATACTAACGATACTTTGCATAATCGTAAATTAAACAAGTTTAGCACCTTTAAATTATTTTATAAGGTCAGTTATTGTTAATATGCGTATATTTGGGAATGACTTGTGTATAATTTAATGTATATAAAAAAAATTAAAAATATATAACACATTTTCTTTTACTTTAATACTCGTAACATTACACTTAATAAAACCTTAAAAAAAAGAAATAAAAACCGACTTCAAACAAAAGCACTAAAAAGTAAAAAATAACTGATTGGTAGTTTTCATTTACTATACATACCTAATCAAATATTTTCGAAGTCGGTGTGCTTTGCTTTGTATGGGCTGGCACCGACTTCGAAATTACACACAGGTTAAATTCATCATTAGCTATTTTTTTTTTAAATTTAAATGGGACCAATCTGGAAGTATACACTTTCAAACAAAACAAAAATTGTCCAAATCGATTAATAAATGACGTAGTTCTGAGGTAACAAACATAAAAAAAAACATACAGCCGAATTGAGAAGCTCCTCCCTTTTGAGGAAGTCGGTTGAAAAATAAATAAACACGGGCTTTCATTTAGAATAGATTCCTAATCGAATATTTTCGAAGTCGGCGCAAGCCGATGCAAAGCAAATCTAATATATTTTGATACGTAAAATACATCACAAATTGATGTATACCAATTTAACTATAATTAGAGTTACTACCATATCATATTTATCTATTAAATATTCATATCTTAAAATATTGTCGGCTGTACATTGTACATACTACATAATATTATATCATACTAGTTATGCGGATTATAAATAGATAATCATCATAAGCCTTGAATCTTTAATTTTAAGTCTAACTAATTCTACGTAGTTTAAGTAGGTACCTAACTACCTGCCTTCGTATATTAGAATATCTTAGAATACTTTAAGCTGTAGTTAAATGAACAAAGAAAAATATTACGTTTTGCGTTTTGTTCTAATTTAATAGTGGCACAAATAAATGCGCTGGATTTACACTAGAGGCACGGGGCTAGTACCCAGAGCGGCAAAATTCGGAGGGCGGGAAATTTTTATTTTTATCGAAAATCCTTTTTTTTTATTTTCCATAAAATGAAAAATAAAAAAAGTCTAACTAGTAGGTACATTTTTCGAAAAATTGTTATCATTTATATTTTTTTTTAATTTTGCAATAAATTAATAATTAAAAAAATCTATCGAACTAAACTTTACCCAATTCATCCAAAATTTCGATAAAAGGGCGGCATTTTTTACTAGTCCTAGGGGCGGCGCTAAGGTTGAATCCGGCACTGTATGTATATATTTAACTTTAATTCTAAGCAACAAAAGGAAACAATTACGAATTACTATCTAAGAGCATATACTTGGCATTCTTTTATATAAATAATAAAAATAAATAAATTGTAAAACTTTCATTATCAACGCTTCAGCCGAAATAAAGTGCCTCTAGCGTCAACGTTTAAACCGTTAAATTAATAATTATTTTAAATTGTGTTTTTTTCTCCATATTATCGATAATTTTATTTGATTTTAAGTATTTTTAGTATTTTTCTATATTATTTATATTTTTCTTCATAACATAACTATGTTTATTTGTTGTACTTCAACAACTCATTAACAAATTGCAATACAATTAGTTATGCTCTGATAAGTTATCAGAAAGAGGGAAAAGGTCAAATGTATTAATATTTCTAACGTAACGAGTAGTTTTGTGACTAGCGTATTTGAATGAAATTTAAGTTTTTTAGTTAAAAAACTCGCTTGGGAAACCGAATGACGCGGGTTCAAACCCCGCTGATATTTTCATGTGCGAAACCTTTCCAACATTGCCACTTGACTTAACGGTGAAGGAAAACATCGTGAGGAAACCTGCACGTCTGAGAGAATCTAGCAAGTTTTGGAAAGACGTGTGAAGTTCGCCAACCCCCAGTCGGATTGGAGTGGACTTTGGCCTGATCCCCCTCGTACTTAAGGGAGGCCCGTGCCCAGCAGTGGGACATTAAAAAAGGCTGAATACAACTTTTTTTTTAACTTCCAGTTCCCCGAGCATTAGTCCAGAGAATATTACACTAGGAATTGGGAAAATTTAGGTTGCTTACTATCCCTTTAGCACAACTATGAAGTTGTCAGGAACAAACAGTTAAACAGATGTTATTAATATACCCTCATCAGTTATTTAATCGATTTTTTTATGGTTAAGTTTTAATAAAGGTTATTTTATTCCCAATCTAATAGTATTAGGTTGCCTTTTCAAAAATGCGTCACATCCATGGTTGTCTACATTTTAAATGTTAAGTTTTAACTCTAATTAAATTTTATATGTAATCATTGGCCTCAATTATCGATAAGACTCTATATAGAAACAATAAGTGATGAAAAAATGAATATGAATATTGAACATATTATTGGACAGGTGTATTGAAACATGGTGTCTATAATGCCGACAATTAAGTAAGCCTTATCACAAAAATAGATGTCTCGTTTACATTTGCGCTACCAGTTTAACTACCTGTTTTAAAAGTAATCACACCATATATTGCCTTATATCTGATAATATAAATAACTAAAAACGAGGTAAAAATACAACTAAAACAATTTCTGAGATAAGAATAGTTTTCCTATTTGTTAAAGTACAAGTCTTAACATACATACATGTGGAATATTTATGTATTAGAAAAATTTAATCAATTTTTTGTGTTCATAGATTTAGATTTATTAAAAACGTATTATTTTATTGATTTCTAAGGCTCATTTAGAGGAAAGAAGGATAAAAGCCTATGCGATCATAATGAATGAATTCAATAAATGAATGAATGCAATTATTATAATTCAAAAATATATTTTTCTGTAAAAGTAAAAAAAAAAAGAAATACAGGAAAATTAAGCAAAAACCTTAGGTCTAAATATTAAATACGAAGGACCGCTAGTTCATCTCAGACTTGACAATATGTTTTTAAAATAAAAAAAAACAGTACTTACCAGTCATAATAACAACGCTAACCATTGTCACTATAAAGAAAGTGTTCTGGTATTTATCTGTATCCACTTGTACCAAAGCCGTCGTCACTAGGAAACATAATGTCACTACTACGAGAGATCCTTGGAGTCTGCTTTTTACTGATACCCTAGAATTAAAATACTTGCTTAGTTTATTTCAAAATTTCAACACCCTTTTACTATTTACCTATTGTAACTATGTATTTAAATCTTGTAAATTGATTTTAACTTATTTTTAACTATCATGTCGACTTGAAACTTTGCTTTTTTTTACCACTTTTAATGCTCAGGCATGGTAATGAAACATGGGGGATAATGACTTTTTAATTATTATCTATTTTCTAGATTTGCTAAACAAATCTAGTGCACACAATTTGCAGTTGGTCTAAAGCATTCTGTTTTAGTTTTTAAAAACTATATATATTTCAAATGCGAATATAAAATTTTATTATTTATTTGCTTAATGCATTAAAATATTTTTTTATTTAAAACTAGCTGACGTTGTCCTGTCTACACGTCTTTAATTTGAAAATTTCAAACTTTTTTTAATAAGCTAAAACATTCTGGACCATTTTGATGAAAATTATTATTCAAATTGTGAATCTAAACCATTCTCAGATCCCCTTGAACACACACAAAAAATTTCATCAAAATCGGTCCAGTCGTTTGAGAGAAGTTCAGTGACATACACACTCACAGAAGAATTATATATATAAAGATGTTTAAAACGAACTCATAACTGACTATTCCACACTCTAACCAATTTCAAAACCCTGTTTAATTCAAATAAAATTGTACACTCTTAGGGTTGCTTCACACTGTGCCGATCACAGTCCGTTCTCGGTCTGATAAAGTATTTTTATACAAGAAATAATGAGTGCTTTCACACTATCAGTAAGATTCACATTCCCGTCGAATCACGCTCCAGCTACGTTTCTTGTATAGAAATACTTTACCAGACTGGTATCGGACTGTGATCGCACTATAGTGTGGAGTGGCCCTTAATTGTACTCTAGTCAATAAAAGAATCAATTAAATAAATCACTTAAGAAAAATATAGTCAAGTAGAATAATATTTGTAATGATAATTGGTTTAGTTCATCGAGCAAACATCAATATACTTACAAATGTCCATAAAGAGAATTCAACACAAGAAATATTAAGTTGGGTATAGCAGTAGCGACATTGAGATAGGAGGTGAATTCAGCTTGAAACTGAGTCTTCCGAACATACACTGTGACATTGGAGACATCACGGAATTTGTACATCCAATACTAAAACAAAAATACCTGTTTAGGATTTTTATCAAACTAAAGGATAAGTTGTACTTGTTTTGTGTGATGCATAATGGATAGTCCACTACAGTACAGTACAGGTAAATTTAATATTGCTTTAATTTTTTTCCTAAAATAACATTATTGAATGAAAGCAAAGTGATTTTTATATTAAGCATAAAAAGGAAATAATTTTATATGAAATATAAAAAAGAACCTTCAAGTGGCTTTTTTTAATAGAAAAAATATGTATTTATATTTTCAATTATCATATTATCAATAAATACAAATTGGGTTGAATTTGGGTATGATAAGCATGAGTTAGTTTAACAGTTTTACAGATTATATTTAAATAATATCTATATCAACTTCAATTCGTGAACTACTTTTCAATAGGCCAATTAATTAATTAGCAAGATAAATATTATAAATATATAGTAATATTGATAACTGTAATGTTTGTCTACAAAATATTTCATGATAAACAATTAGAACAAATTTCTGATTTCACATCTGATACAACCATCATGTCTTTTTTTGTTTTTTTCTTACTTCTTAAAATTTGAAGCAAAATATTATGGCAGGGCCGAAAGTGAAATTTTGATTTATTTAAAAATATAAACTATTATACTTACATCATTGGCAGTGATCAAGAAATTCCAAGGTACGAGTGATGTTATACCAAATAAATAAAACAATATGTAAACAATATAATAACTATCCCGAGGTGCCTGACACGTATCCAGAACTTTGGTAGAACAGGAATCATCCACAAGTTCCCTCTCTTCTGAATAATCTACGTCTTCTTCATTTTCAATAGTTTCAATAACTTCTTCATTGTTAATCGATCCTGTCACATCCATGTTATTGAAATTTATTATATTCTGCTTTAAATGTAAAGTATTAAATGAAAGAAAGTTTAATATTAATTATCATGCACTGAGACATGAATATCTGGTCAATTTGTGGATGAAACTAAGTAAATATGAAATGATTCATTATTAAAACCACGACCAAGCGCAACCCTTAAAGTTGCGATTGACATTTTGAATTATTGACAGTAGCTCTCAGGGCTGCCAGATAACAGTCGTTGATTTACCCGACCAATAACCTCAAAATACCTGGTTTATCCCGCCGGCGCGGCGTGGCGCCAACCATGAGCAGAATACCTGAAGATAGTTCTTTTTAAGTAACATAAAAAATCAAAATATCAAATTAATCAGCTAAACTAAAATACCTGCTTTGACCCTGCTCAATGCAAATACCCGTCAAAGTTAACCGCCATTAGAGTTGGCCCTTTCTTATAAAACGTTGATGAGCAACGATGTCACTAACCGATGCCGGCATCCGTTGCTGGATTATCGATATAACGTTGCCCGCACCAACAACGACATTCGACAACTCACGAGTCACGCTGCACGCACGATGATCGAATCGTTTCCATTCGTTTCGATTATTTCGTTATATATAGGCCTATTTTATTTTGTATCCCATAACATAATCTAAATTATCTCAACACATAGGTAGTCATCTACACGCATAACATTTGTAATTTATAAGTAGGTAGGTATAATTGCCAAAAACAATAGTATGTAGTAAATTCATTTAATTGCTTAGGTATTTGAAGTAAAAATGATTAAACTAGTTTATTATAACATCTATTTTTTTTATCATAACAGTGTTATATTATCTACGCTAAGCAACATCGCATCATTTAACGTTACTCGTTTACTAACTAAAGTTGTCGTTACATCGCCTGACAGCAGTCAGCATCCACAACGCTATCGAGCGGCAACTAAATAGGGTGACATAATCTATGCCGACGACGGTGCCAGACTGCCAGTATCAAAGGTGCCGGCAATGGATGACATTTACGGAAAAACGTTGCTCACCGATGACATAAAAAAGCGAAAACGCCCATAACTAACCGCCATCAAAAATCGCCTAAAATTACCCGTTTTCCGGGTAATGTACCCGCCAATTGGCAGTGCTGGTAGCTTTAGAATTACAGGAATAATTTGACAAATATATTTTTAAATTGCCATGTTACAAAGGGTAGCTTGCTTTGAATTACATTGTAACTTTGGGTATTAACTATTTAAAAATATTACAATACTTTATAATACCAAATAACACATTTTTGCAATAGTCCAAGATCCCAGGGCCGCCAGACGTCACGTACTTTCTGACGAACGAAATGTTGACAATTGGGTAGTGTTAGTATGTACTACGATCGTATGCCTACCTGCTAACTTGGCTAGATGGCCAATTTCCAGGTATCAGGTAATCAAGGTACCTCAAAAGATTACTTACCTCACGTACATTCTCCAAGATGATTTTCACGTATATTTTAGACAATATCGTTAAAAATAAGTCGCTAATACTCCTAGACACTTTCCGTCGTCCGTATTGCTTTGCAGACGCTTTAAAGGTCACAAAACAATTACTTAACTTCACGTAAATTTTGATGCTCCATTTTTCTATATCTTCGCCAGACAACTATTTTAAAACCTTTTACAAGAAGACATACCAATCCAAGGGGCCAATCTCCCCCTAAACTCAATTTTCCTTCCCACAGAGACTTTAAAATAGAGTTGAGCTGAGCATCGGGGGCATTTTACGAATTTCTATTCCATATAAACCTGCTAACGTTTTAAAAACATTAAAAAAATCAGGTTTTAATTTGTTTGTTCCCAAACCGGATTCCGATTGGACTATATTAACTTTATTTAGTTATTATATTTCAAACATAAAGAAAAATCAGGAAAGTTTTATTTAAAATTACTTAAAAGTATAAAAGATAAAAAAATTATAATAACATATTTCTGTCCCCAAATGGGAATTAGAGTTAGATTTTCGGGGAATTTAATAAATTGGTAATTTGGTGACACTAATGCCATTGCATTCGCAAGCGTGTATGAAGCGTCCAAGCGTTTGTAACATGGATGAGTTTGTAAAGGCTTGGAGCTTGTACTTTATATGTAGCAATATACTCTATGTTGTACACGCTTGCCAAGTCTCGGCAAGCGTGTAAATGTAGCGTAAAAACATTGTAAATTTCTACTAAATCTACAATATAAATGGGTTACATACCTAATCTATGATCTACAACTAATAATCTCTTTGGATGTTTTTGCGAATTTATTTTGATTTTAGATATTTGACGGTGAGAATTCTTGTCGTTCCTGGTCTATGGTTAGAATGCTTTAGTTATTAATGTAATTATGAGCTTTTTTACTCAGTAAAAAAGAAAAGTTGTATATATACATATATATATATATATATATATATATATATATATATATATACATTTAGATACATTTAATAAAATTCTAACTAAGCCGAATCTGTACAGTAATATTTTTTGGAAAATCTTATTGAAATAGACATTATTATTGATACGGAGGCCGAATCTATTGTTTTTAGAATTTTTGTCTGTCTGTCTGTTACCGCATCACGGGAAAACCGCTGGAGGGATTTTGATGAAATTTGGTATTATGGTAGCTGGTTATCGGGGTCAACATATAGAATACTTTTTCTCAATATTCTGTAAATAATTCTGAAAATATTTCATCTCTGAGAAATCTATACTAAACGTTAAAACGTAAGTAGGGACGAACCCAAGCTTAGCGAGGGTGAGCCGCTAGTATAATACTCTACTATGTAGTAGTTGTATTCGTCTTACTAAATCATTATTGCACCTTATTTTTTATCAGAGTAAAAATTTCGTCTAATCGTCGTACAAAGACGAGAATGTTTTAATGTAGGTAAGTTAAATTTAAATTGGTCTTAAATCTTTACTTTTGTACTTATAAACTAGCGAGTCACACTCGCTTTTCGCTAAAGATATCTACCGTTTTGACGTTTAGTATAAAATAGTTTTTTTTTTTCATTAATGTTTTCAATGTTTTAATTGTTATTCTGCTATTCGGGGCAGAGACGAATCCAACAAATCATAAGCCATGAAAATCGGTCTAGCAGATCTCGAGCTAAAAGCGTTGTAACATTCCCGACTTTGTTTTATATTATTATATAGATATAGATGTATAAATGCAATTCAATGCATTTTAAACATAAATAATATTTAACAACAACTAAGAAATAAAAGTCTATATATGAAAATATTAAATATTTATTTTATTCAATTAAATTTACTAATTTTGTACGTTTTATAATTAAAGCATGATTAAAATCATATATAAGTCGTAGAACTGTAAAGATAGGATTTATAAGGATTAAATATAAAAAGTATTTGAAAGGATAAAAAGATAAATAGAAATGTTAAATTTCTTTTAAAAAAGTAGAAATACTTTGAATTATAATAATTAAACCTACTTATCTGTAACACAAGGGACGGACATACATTAACTTAAATAATTATAGCTTTAATAAAACTAGACTGTGATTTTTTTAAATAAACTTAAATTAATATTCATTAATAAAAGCAAACATACGAACTATTCCGTGTCAATTGCTGTTTAAATATTTATATACATATTGATGTTGTAATAACCATAATACAAATATAAAGATACAAATCAAAGTTTTATGGTAACAATAAAATTACATACAGTAATTTTAACTACGAATATTATTTAAAATGTTTTTTTTTTCTATCTAATAATAATCGTGGCCATAGTACTTATTTGCTCAAACGACCTATACTTGTTGTACTCTAAAGTAGTTTTTTCCTCTATTTTAAAAACAAGGCTTTGTCTAAGATTTTTATACATACATAGATAAAAAAAATCGACTTTATTCAAGTAAAATGTGAATTTGATACCAATAGAATTGACGTTTAAAAGTCTATAATTCTGTATCAAAAATTCTTTCGGTAAATTGGCCGTTTGGTTTGGACAAATAAGCACTGAGACGACGTAATGTTACCGTAAAGAAGCAAATTATGAGATCGTGTTATCTACATTAAGTCCTATTTATAAAAATGCCAAATGTCCTAAATCACGATATGATTATAAGCAATATAAGCAATACGGAAAATATTAAAAAATAAAGTGTTTATTGGAAATAATAGTTAAAAATGGCGTAAATAACGTCATAGTTACAAATATACGGTAGAAAGTAAATGCAAAGCTCCCTAACAAATGAAGACATCAGTCTTTTTATTCATTACATTAATATTATTTTTTATAAGATACGAAGACAATGTGAATTTTTTAATTATTATAATTACATATAAAATACTATATCTATTTTCATTGAGGCCTTTGGACGGTCTTTTTTCAGATAAGGCATAGTAATCATTCTAAAGCAATGTTTATATGACATGGAAGTTGTTAGGTATACTTAGTGACTTTTAAAATATTACTTCACATATATTTGGTGATAAAGTTGATATATAAAACTTTATTTCTCGCTTTCTTAATTTATAATATATGTTTCTTTTCAATCTCAGACTAAAGAATTCTATAATCGGAGGCGCCAAAATAAATGTCGAAGTCAAAAACAGTACCATGATTATCTGTTTATGCTATTATTCTCGATTTTTCCATTCAGATCGTTTACTTTCTTTAAAGAATACGGGAAATTTTATATATGTATTAGTTAAATTAATATATATTTTTTGAAATTAAAATATGAATAGTAAAAATAGTAGTATAAACTGTTATATTTTTTAAGCACTAGTTCTCTTCCTCTTGAAAGAGTGATAGCATTATATATCATTATTTCATAGTTTTTTTTCTATATGTAGTATATTTTAATAAGTTCCGATAGCAATTTATATTTATTAACATTTATATATTTTTCGCTCAGTATACAAATTGTATGCTATTTTAAAAAAAATATTGTTTGGCTTCATGTTTAATCTATATTACTCCTTAGCCTGAGTTTTCGACATATCAATACCCTCAATTACAAAACCATTTTAATTAAATGGTGATTATATAAATTTTAAATATTCAATACATATAATATGTGTATTGAAAATACATAAAAAATATTATTTATTTTTTAAACAAATTATATATCACAAATATAATAATGGAATAACTTTGTTGAAGTGAAACTTCTTCTGAATCGTTGTGATTTGAAAGTCGATGAAACGAAAATGCGACACTAGAAAGAGACAAACAAATAAATATACCGTCGAGAGAATGAGATAGAATACATTGCCATGGTAACCGTTGTTATTGTCTGACAAATAAATAATATTATATACTTTCCGTATATGGTATTCTATAAATATATAATTGTAATATGCCTTATTTATTTATTGATTTGTTTTAATTTAATTGCGATATTTGCAAAGAAGTTTTACTTCAACCGCGCAAAAAGGTTACACACACCCATTTTTTTAAAATATACTATGTATGTATTAATTTTTACATAGCCGTTTCTAAAGGCTGGCTGTATGATCTGCTGTCTTCTGACATTGTGTTCATCTGTGAGTCTTCGAAGTCGAAGTCTGTTTCTAGAAGGGCTTCTGATCTAGATCTGGTGGGGAGGTCGGGGGTGAAGGGGGATGTGGCGGGGGAGGGAGGGGAGGGAGGGGCCGAGTGAGGGTAGGCCGGAGGGTGTGGGGGACTCGGCAGGCGGTCGTCGTAGTATTGTAGTTCATCTGTGAAATATTTTTCATAATTTATTATACTTGTTTTTCTTTTTTTTTTACTATGTATAGTACGCGCCACAAAAGATGAGACTTGACTTACCATGTGGTTTGACTTGCGCATAAGACGATTTATAGGTCTCTTTAGCGGTACAAGGTCTGAGGCGGAATGGGATCGGGCGTCATCGGGGCGTCGGAAAGCGCGCGGCAAGGCGCGGGACGGCGCTGCGCATGCGTGGTAGTTGCGTACCGTTCCCCTCATCCCGTGCACGCCCCGCTTAACTCCGCAGTACAGACGAGTGTAACTTGTGTTTATAAATTTCTACTTTGTTTATAGTTGTGTTGTATACGAGGGCAATTTTGTAAAATTTTGAATATGCCTCGATGTAAAACATTAAGAAGAAAAAGTAGGAAACTGGTTTACGACGTGTACAGTTACTTATATGTTAAAAGAAGCAAAGGAAGGTATACAAAATTTGAAGCAGGTAATGCGTACCATTGCGTACCTTGCGTATCATTTGTAATAAATATTGTTAATAATTTTAATATAATATTGCTATACACTTTATTCCGAATGATATCGAAAAATCCCTAAATAGATATAGAAATAAATTATAGATAACTATTTCGTTGCGCAGGATCCCCACTACTGACGCTCGTCAAGTCTCATCTTTCGTGGCGCGTATTAATCCCTCCACGACCGCGGACACGCCGGCGTTACAGTTAACAATAGATTTCTTAGAAAATTAATTAATTTCTTAGAAATTTACCTGGAGGTGTTATATAAGTATTTAAAACTTTTTAAGACTAGTGATTTACCCTTGCCCCGCTCGGAGTCACAACTAGATGCTAAATAGTACACTATGTGTTACTCCTGATTATAATCTATGTATTTATGTACTCAATTTTAGCCGTTTCAGCATTGGAGTAACAAACATACAAATTTACACGATTATTATATTATAGTCCTACATAAATACCTATATCGCCAAATTCAAAAGAATTGTTAAATGTGTGCTATTATACAATTAATGATTTTATAGAAGATGGCACGGCACGGCTTGGGAATGAAGTGATCGCCTCCAGTCTACTAAAATTTTGTAGACATATTGTAATTTATAATTTAACTCTATAAAAAAAAGATAATGAAATAATATTAGTCCCGCTGAGTTTCTTTCGCCAGTTCTTCTCAGGTCTGAGGCTTCTTTCCGAACTGGTAGTAGACTCATGACGTTCAGTAAAAAAATGTAATAATTTAATGCTCCATAAAATACTTTGAATTTGAATATATTATTTTAAGTTAGTTATATAAATCCACTTTCTATAATAATAAAAATATAATATAACACTTATTTTTTTTACAAACCTGGAACATTTCGTTGACCGAACGTCGATGTAGACACTTGTGGCGGCGGCTCCGGCATTTTCGACCTTAACTCCATTAAAAAGGACAATTTTGGTTGCCCACCATGATCGGGGGCGCCATAAGGCCCATATATCTTACCATCCCTTTCTAATTCTCTCTTTAAAAATATCGGATCATCAGACTTATCTACACCCCGCAATGGTAGAGTATCTGCATTGAAATATTGCGTTTCATTTTGAGGCGACATTATATCTAACTGTTGCAAACCACCGGGATGATGTATTATTGGTAGCTCTTCTGTCGCTAAAGTATTCATAGATGGTGTTACACTAGAATTTTCTCTGTATCCTTCATTTTTGTATGACAAATCGAAATCTCTGTTCTGTGGCACGCTGTATTCAGGAGACGCGGGTTTCTTGTTGAACGTGCTATGTTTTAGTTGTATCACGTTATTTGGGTTATGTGCTTCGTAGATGTCGAAGCTCTGGTTGTCTTCTACGGAAGAATTGAATTGACTCTTCTCCATGGACTCCATAGAAGTCGTTGATGCGAGCATTTTTCGATAATCAGAGGTTTTTGTTAGTGTGTCTGTTGATCGTGCACTCTGTAAGAGAATTTTTAATGGAGATTCACTCGATTATATAACAATAATAAATAACAAATGAGTTTATTATTTAAAAAGGTTATACTTTATTTTTATCGATAATTAATTCTATTTGCCTATTAAATATATGTAAATAGAATTAATGATAAAAATTATATACATAAATAATATCACTTTCTATAATATTATTCATTTATAACATAGTTTACCATTTGCACAATTTTCCTTCTGTAAGTCGTATCCGGAAAGCCGCCATTGATGCTGCCAATAGATCGCACCGAGTGTAACGACTGTCTTATCGAGTTACGTCGCTCTAGCCTTTGCAGATGTCTGAAATTATTGATTTAATGAGTTAATAAAAAATGATTTCTTTTTAAACGTTTTCTTGGAAAATCTTATTAAAATTGTCATTACTATCGATACAGAGGCTGAATCTATAGTTTTTAGAATTTTTGTCCGTTCGTCCGTGTGTCTGTCTATCTGTGAAATTTGGTTTTTATGATAACTGGTTATCCGGGTCAACGTATAGGATATTTTTTAGGGTTAAAAAATTTGTGTCTGTATATGTTGTTAGTCCTTTGATGATACGAGTGAATAGATTTACTTGAATTTAGTACATTTAGTAATAAATTGTTTAAAATTTGACGCCGCTTGTATAATGTATATCAGATTATTTATGTAAGTCTGTGTATGTGTGTATGCTATTGTTTGTGTATGTGTGAATTACGTTTATGACAGCCGGAGAACTCAGAAAAACAAAGTTTTTACTTAATTCTTTAATTAAAATTATTTTAAAATATAAATATTACATGAAACAATAGTGACCGATGTTAGAGTCACATATTGAATGCATATTCTTTGTGTATGTATGTACGTTTGTTTATTACTTCTACACGCTGCAAAGGCTCAACGAATTTAGATGGTACGTAGATAGATTGTGACACTGAGTAATACATAGACTACCTACCACTACCACTGCCATGGTGTGTGGAAGGCAGTAATAAATATGTATACTGACCTGTGTTTAGACTTGGAGTACCAGCAAACGAGAGCCGCCCCCACCAGCACCACGGCCGCCACCAGTACGCCGAGGAAGGCCACGGCCAGGGTGTCTCCCTGCCATGACATCGGGTCGATGGATATTTTGGGATCTACAAATAATTACATTAATCTATGCAGATAAATAAAATTGAAGCGTCTGTTTGTAATGTCAAAATAACAGCGTTTTACTAAATGCAAAAGAAATTAAATACGGTACTTATAACAAAAATAAAAATTGTCGGTCAGTCTGTCTGTCTGTTTGTTCCGGATAATCTCTGAAACGGCTGGACTGATTTTGACGGGACTTTCACTGGAAGATAGCTGATGTTATAGAGAGTAACATAGGCTTCTTTTATTTTAGAAAAAGGATTAGGGTTCCGCTCAAAAAAATTAAAAAGTACCTAGGGACGAACCGGAGCTAAGCGAGGGTGAGTCGCTAGTTTATACTAATATTAAAAAGAGACAGAGTTTGTTTGTTTGAACGCGCTAATCCGATTTGAAAACCTGTTTTCGCATTAAATAGCCCGTTTATTGATGAAGGCTATAGGCTATATATCATCATGCTACTACCCAAGGGAGCGGAGCAGTAATCATAAATGTTAACAAATCGGGAAGACTTCCATACATATTGTAAAAGGATGGGTCTAAGAACGTACCCGAGCGTGAGTCGCTAGTATTCATATAAAAACTCACCAATCTCGCATATGAAGGCGTTCTTCTGTGAACAATCAGTCTGCTCGACGGCGGAGAACGCGAAGGAGGTGCACTGCGAGTAGTCGATGTGGCTGACCCACACGCGGTCGCCGAACTGGAACCACTGGTTCTGGCGCCGGATGAACTCGTACAGCGCCGCGTAGTTGTTCGATACGAACGGCATCGACGCGTTGTCCGACTGCGGGTTTATTTACTTATTTAAGTTGAATATTGTTATTTTATTTTAAATTACACTGTTTCCAATTCTTGTTGATTTTGTATTTCTTTTATCAATTACTATAATAATTCGATAATATTATGAATGCTATGTACACTTGTAATTGATATGCGTGTCTGTTTTTTTTTTACTTTATTTATTGTATTGAATTGTTTTAACATGTGTATTGTAAGTATGCTTAATAATAAATAAATAAATTAAATACATACTAATACACATAATTGTATCGGTCTAGTGGCTAGCATGTAACAGATCCGGAGGTCCTGAAAGTCCCGGATCAGGCCAAGTTTAGTTTTTGAGTACGTGCGCTCCGAGTTATTAAGTAGTACGTATTCTCCGAGGCACGGGGGTTAAAACACCACCAACTTCCCAACTCCGGGCTGCTATTGAGACTTACTAAACAGAAATACTCAATAACTAAATTAGCCCGCCCCGAGACTCGAACCCAGGACCTCCGGATGTGCAGCTGTACATGCTAGCTATACACCACCAGACGCACGCAGTAGGGCTAGTATGGCCAGTAGGGTAGGACAACAAACTCACGGAGCAGAAGCGCCTCGCGTCGGCGTAGGTCATGGGCGCGCCCACGTACATGTAGCAGGTGCCGGCCACCGCGTCCCAGCCCGGCGGGCACTTGCCGCCCGTCAGCACGCTCGAGTTGCTCATGTAGTAGGGCCTGATGGATTTATATGGAATGATAATACTTTCTTAGATTCACGCAAATATTTGACATTTTAAATAAAACTTCTTTAAAGTGTCAAATATTCGCGTAATCTTATTAGGTATTTTCGCAGATTTATTTTGATTTTTTGCCTGACGTTTCGAATGCAGCATATCAATCAATCTCATTCATCAATATCAATACAGCAATCATCGTCACAGGAGAGACTAAAGTTTTAGATGTCTCAAAGGTCATTATATAGTTGTTACATTTGTGAGTAGGCACTGTCTGTAAAAACTAAATATTGATCTTTCAGATGTCTAAAACCTTATTCTCTCCCGTGGCCATGATTAATGCAAAATGCAAATGTTATAAATAAAGCATTCGAAACGTCAGAAACCAAAGATCAAAATAAATCCAGGGAAAAATCTGAAAAGATAGTTTTGTTAATATAGTTACCTATAGTCGACTTCTAATAGTAAAGGGTTGTCGGACTGGTCGCGGATGCGCCCCGCCACGGCCAGGCTCTCGTTGTAGCTCCAGTAGTTGTGCTTCGCGTCGATGCGAGTGCGCCATAAGTCCAGCGAGCTGAAGTTGGTTAAATATGTTATCTATGTATACTCCTGACCGATTCCGGCCACGGAGGCCAATCTCACTGAGACTAGCCAAATACGCAGGAAATATTATAGTGCAGCGCGTGTACGCGCAGCTACAAGTGCACTATCTATTCCTTTTACTTTTTAAGTCCGAGAAGACGATACTTCGACATAATCGAGAAAATCAAGGCGCAGGACCGACGGCCTTACGTGCTCTCCGAGGCACGAGGGTAAATTGATTGACTGGACTGTTTCTGAGAATATCCTAACAAAAAAACTAAGTAATAAAACTTGACTCGACCTGAGACTCGAACTCAGGACCTCTTGATCTATAGCCGTACATGCTAGCTATTACACCATCACCAAAAAAACAATTACTGTACTTTACTGTTAAGAGTAACGTAGAAATTAATACGTATTTAATGAAATTATTGACGTCCTTAGAATAAGGAATAATATAATTAATCAAAATCTGATTAATTAATAAAATAATATAAGTCTATAGCATGAGTTGAAGTCTTATAAATTTTGTCATAACAATTCAAAAGGTTTCACATCTCTACTCAGACTTAGGAATAGTATAGATAGAGTGTCATACAAACAAGAATCCAAACTGTTTTAAAATAGTATATAATATAATGACAATTTGTAGTTTGTGTACTGAGTGATATGTAAATAAATGTTAATAAATAAAATAGCTAACGGATTTTAACATAATAAAGAAAAAAGTTAATAAGAGAAGAGAACTAATTCTTAAAAAATACAAAAGAATATAGTATTATATCTCATTTTCAAAAATATATTAATTTAAATAATACGTATATAAAATTTCCCTTATTCTTTAATGGAAGTAAACGATCTGTATGACAAAATCAAGAATAGTAAACAGCAAATCACGCTACTATTAACTTTGACAGTACCTGGGCGTCCAGAGTTCTTTTTTGTTATATCGTATTTTTTGGATGATAATCTATAAAACTTAAAAATAAACTTTAATAAACACAAAAATGTCAATCTTGCGCCTTGGCCGCTTGACCACGATACTTATGCCCGAGCGTGCGAAATTAGCGATCATATTTCGCGTGGAATAATGCCAAAGAAAATCGCATGAAAACTCGAAAACAGACATATGACTAATCTAGATCGATTTTCGCCCCCTAAAACCGCCACACACCAAATTTCAGCGAAATCGTTAGAGCCGTTTCTATATAAATATAAATAAATATACAAGATTTGCTCGTTTAAAGGTATTAGATTTATTTTCCTGGGCTCAGTCTATATAATTCTTTAGTCTGAGTATATCTTTTACACACAATAAAACGTCAAAACCGCCATTACAGACTGTTACAAGTTACTTATTATAAATATGTAATATAATAAAATAAGTCTTACCTCATATAATTGGGATTAAAATCGATAAAGCTATGGTCCCAGCAGCCATGCAACAAAAACATGCAAGTCATATATTATCATCATAACTTATACTAATTATTATAATATAGTAATTATTGTATAATAGATTAATATCATTATAATAGAATATAATAAAAAAATATTACATTAAAATAAATGTAAAAAATTAAGCACAAATTAAGTCCTGTTTTAATTTAAAAAATATGCTCTAATACCCATACTATTTTACCATTTTAATAACGAAAGGTAATAATATTTTTTCATGCACTTCTGTCTTAAAAAATAAAACCCATTGAATATATAATAAGGAGATGCACTAAACTTAAAACATACCTATGTTTTTAATTACTGAATCGCACAATAAAAATGATAATTTATAGGCAACATAAAAAAAAATGTTATAATAATTTACATAATACATAATTAATATCATATCAAAGTAAAAATACTTTCTATAGTTCTTTAATGACTTCAACCAAGCGATGAATGAAAAAAAAATGAGTAGTACATAGTCGTTATATAGGAAAAAATACTAAGTAATATCCTCATACCAAATATAATATAGCTAATATTATATTAAAAAAAATGACTTCCAGGCACCAAAACGTAAAAAAATAACTAAACGAGGGTTCTCATTTAGAATAGATATCTAATCAGATATTTTCGATTTCGATAACCTACCCACAATTTTACAAAAATGATTTTAAAAATTTAATATATAATTATTAAAATATGATAATTGTTGATTATTGTAAAGCATTCCAAACGCCTGGAATCAAAATTCAAAATAAATCCGCGAAATAATCCGAAAAGCAGTTTTATTAAAAACGTCAAATATTCGCGTAAATATAAAAGTATCATCAGTTATTGTTAGACCTCGCCCCTAGGGAACAACCCAAGCGAAGCAAGGGTAAATCGCTTGTTAACAAATATTACTATAGGTATAATACATATAATAATATTATACATACATAGATCTGTTGACAGTAATCATTTCGTAATCGTTGTCCGGGTTAAAGAATATGTTGTCGACATAGTGCTGTCCCGCGGTGCCGGCCACCACTGTGGCGCGGCCTTCTCTGTCTAAGGCGAAGTTTCTGAAAATAGAAAAAAATAACATATAAACATATTTTTCCAACTCATATCCAGTAACTAGATTAATTCTGATTTATTATTTATTCTAACTTAAACCCTTCTTTTTGAAATCGATTAAAGAATAATATATTTGAACGACTTCAAAAAAGAAAGACGTATTTAATCTGAGTGTATGTTATTATCAATTTTGAATCGATTTAAATGTTTTTTATTTTATAGAAAAGGGTTATTTATTGTATTGCCCACCCAACCATGATCCATAAATTTTACAATATGCATACATACAAATGCTTATTTATATTTGTATAATATTATTTTTATTGAAAATCGATACAATTAAAATTAGGTTCAACCGACTTTCAAGATGTAAGTACATTATTTAAAAGCAAAACTAACAACACATACTCGTATTATACGAATAGCAATAATAGCACTGTGACTAACTTGTAAAACCCATTATGCGACGTAGTCTGATATATCGGCAGACGAACTTTATCAAAACCGGACACTTCTAATATCCTCAAGCCAGTGTTGTGGTGCACATAGTTGTGTGTGAAGTTTGAGACCACCTGCCGGAGCACTATGACGTCAGTGTACAGAGCTCGGTTACGAGTAAAGTAGTTGCGGTATATTGTTACTTCTTGGTATGGAGAGGATTGGCGACCTGGAATTATGTTTTTGATTATTATTATTTATATAAATATATTATCGACATACGCTTGCTTCGCTGAAGTGCATCCCTAGGTGCCTAAGTAACCTAGGTCTATAGCTAGTCCATAGACTATCCGTGTACTAATTATAATCTAAATAGGTCCAGACGTTTCAGCGTGAAGAAAACACAAACTCACATATACATATAACGTACCTAATAACTTTCCGTCAATTAATATCAAAGATGATACTAAAAACCGCTTTTGAAATAAATGTTATTAAAAAATGAAGATTTATCCGAGATTAACTTTAGAACATAAGACGAAAATCGTACTAGCGACTCACAAAAAACAAAATCAAACTTATCCCACGATAACAGATATATTTACCTTCAACTTGAAGACAAGGCAAGTCATGATTTTCAAAGAACAAATTATTATGTATCCAACCACGCAGTGAAGTAGCGGAGCCTCTCGAATCGGCTCTCACTAGGATACCCCCGACGTTGTTGCGCACTAAATTATTCTGAAAATATGAATGTAATATTTCGTATATTTATTTATACTATTGCTTGAAAGCTACAATATTTCGACACATATTTATTTTGCAGGAATTCAATTGTGTCCTTTTGAAACTTTCTTTTCAAGTCCATTTTTTAAAGTCTTTATGATAAAATAAGATTTATTAGGCAGAAACGTTATAGGCCATGTAACATCACGCTACGACCCTCAGAGTGGAGTAATTATTGATAATATGTATGAAAATATAATGTCATACATATATATTACAGAATGGAGATATGATAGTGCATAATGGTATAATTAGCACAAACACAGCACTTTCTATTCTTGCTCTTTTCTACATTTGGGATAAGATGACAATTTTTGTCGATAATCGAAGTACTACTGAATTACTAAAAACAGAACTTAAGGGTTATTTGAAAATACATCCCCTAAAGCGGTTTAAGGAAGTGTTAGCCCACTGGTAACATGCTGTGCTTGTGAGAGAAAAAATCGTGAAGAAACTTGAAAAATATGTGAAGTCCGCCAACGCACTCTTGACTAGCGTGGTGGACTATGGCCTGATCTCTCTCGTATTGAAGGGAGGCCCGAGCCCAGCAGTGGGGCGTTAAAAAGGGCTGAATACGTGTTTTAGTCGACTACTTGTCAAATAAGTACATTAAATATATTCTGCTAAAAAAGAAATTTATTTTAAATTAACTTACCCTGAAAACTAAAGTCTGCGTATTTTGCACATCAACCCTCACAGCCGCCTGACAAGTAGTGAAGTTGCCATACAATTTCAAGCAATTATTTGTGATTTCATTCCTAATGATAGCTACTAGTGGGTTCACTTCGCCCACCGACTGATACGTTATAGCACCGTCTCGATTGTTTGTAAGTTCGCTACTCGATATGTTGTGCTGGACATCACGACCTGGAATATCGAGATAGTTGAAAGATACACTCGAAAGTATAATTTTGAAGAATATGTTACACATACACATACTATTTTTGTGTATTTTTTGTAATTATTTGCTCTACTTTCTATAGAAACTAATGGTCGTGGTAGGCACGTAGTACCCACGTCTTGTTTTAGAGCATAAGCGCTTTACTTGGTAATTTCACTCACAAATTTAATTTTTATGTTATGAGTATGATTGCTGAAATACACAAATTATTACTTTATAAATAAGTTATGGCTTGACCTCTGCCTTGTTTAAAGATATTGATAGTTTTAAGCTATATATGTATGTATTTAAAGTTATACTTACTAAATCCTATAGCAGATATGGGCAATGTGACAATTTCAGCAATAAACCCATGTACAGAAGCCGCACCGTTAGCGAATAGTTTGACACTTAAGCTTGCACCATCAGTTCTAAATAGTTTCTTCTCATCAGGCGAACCGTTTTCCAAGTAACCTATTTGAGGAGCTGTTATATTGTAGATATCTCCATCATACAAAGTCAAGGAATCACGCTTTCCATAATTCAGAGTGTGATTGAATAAATTGAATTGTAGGAGTCTGAACCCAAAAGGTTTAACTCTGAACATACTCTTGAATATTTTTACGCAATTAACTGGATTGTTATCGTATTTATAGTATAGAATGACTCTCTCTTCAACTGTAATAACTTTTGAGCTATCACAGATATCGATCAAAGAAAATAAGTGGTAAGGTAAATTAAGATCTTTTAAGGGAGTGAAACTTGATTCCTCCGATTCCCTCCCTTCTCCATTTAATGATATAGCACTGATACCTTCTCCCAAAGTATCACTAATTGTGTTAAACATCATGTTTATAGTATCAGTTGGAGATACTATATTGATACCATGATATGCACATTTACTTATATTCACATTTTCAATGACTGGGTTTTTGATGATGCTTTGAACTGCCGGCGACTTTTCATTATGCAATATGCCAGCACCAATAATTCGCACGTGCTGTAATCGACTTTCAACTTTCTTTAAAGTTTCATGTGTATGGTGGTCATGTATTCTGTGTTCGTACATAGAGTATTCAAACTCTGGATTAGTAAAACGTATTCCACCCCAGTAATCAATATTTTCCTCCAAATTTCTAGAACCACAGTGAATAAATACGAATTCTGAATTCCATTTACACTCGTGTCTATGACCGTAAAGTTGACCATTGAGTCGAATAGGACAGTCTTCATACCGTTCTTCTGTGCCTACACATTGCAGCGGCTCGGGCCAGGACCATACGCGTGAAAGTGAATTACTATGGTATTCTACACGTCTGTCGCGAGCAAAGAATACATTTATTGGATCAAAACCTAATTCTCGACAAACGACTTGAGCATTTCTCTCTGTAAAACGATTATCACACATTGGCACCCATTGTAATGTAGTTCTATTATAGTATTCTAAGAAGCCTTCATTTTTTCTTTCAAAATTATTGTCATTAATTGAACAATTTCTTCCAGTGCAAAGTCGAATGGAATCTTGTACAATCATCGATTCCAACTGTCGCTTATTTTTATGATGACTAGAAGAGTATTGTCCGATTTCCCGTTTTTCAATTCTGTTACCTTCAATATTAGTTGCAGAGAACAGTGGTCTCATTAAAATAGGTAATTGGCTGTGGCCGATCGCATTCAACGTACCCATAACCAATATACCAACATTAGGTGCAAATTCTAAGACTACCCCTGGAGTCAAAGTGAGCGTAACATCTGGCATAACTGTGATATCGGCCTTTATTACATACGGTGAAATCCGCGCATCTAAGGTAAGATCTGAAGTTAAACGTCCTCCAAGTTCATTCACATCTACAACTGTCGCAGGACTAAACGCAACAGATACGCTTGAATCAAAATTATTCTCAAGTAAGTACGGTAAATAAGTTGCTACAGCATGGTTATTCCAATCATCGAAATCAAATATTTGTTGTCTTATTTTCTTCTCATCTGCACTGCCCCACCAATTTTCACTAACATCCAATAGATTATTTATTTTTGCAGTTTTTATACCAGCTAGCAGTGTATATTGTAATGCATTATTTCCGAAAAGGTTTCGACTAACCTTAACTTTCTGTATGCCTTTGAAGCCCAATGCGTATGTGGGATCTGTACTTCTAACTAAAGCACCGCGGTTTATTTGTGTGGCATATCTATTATCCGTTATTTGATTATACACAAATACCGCATACACGAAACCCATAATTTCACTTTGGCTGTCCATAAAGAATTGTACCATATATTGGCCGTTATTTCTCTCGATCATATTCCCGTCTATTTTCATTTTCTTTTCCATACCTCTGATAGAAATTAAGCCAGATTTGCAATTATTATCGCTGTATACGTTTTTCGTTATATTTATTTCGGCAAAATGTCCATCTATAACAAAACCAAAGTTCTGATTATTACGCCAAGTATTGTTGTGCATGAATACGGAATGCGTGAAATTTTCATTGTATTGCCAAACATACGGCAAGCTTATATCAAATCCTCCGTTTTTGTTTCTTTCTATCGTATTATCTTGAAATACGTAATGATATAAATTATTTGAACTCCTCAAATCTCTTGCAAAGTGATATATTCCTTTTCCATTGTCAGTAATCAAGCTACTATTTACCATTATAGTTATCTCAGTTATATGGCTCTCGTGAATGTCCCAAAACGGAGTGTTAACATAAATTGCTTCCTCTGTATTGTGCGCAATTTCGCAATTTATTATCTTTATAGTTTCGTTAGCTTTCCGAAGAAAATGGTCACCTAGTTCATTTAAATAACGATTATAGTATAAAGCTTTTATGCCTTTGGTATTCCCTTTTATCTTTGTATTAAAAACTTGCAGAGTCGGCACCGGACCTTTAACAATTCTGTTTCGTATATTCTGCACAGGGGCTATAATAGTGCTTACTACCAAAACAACACCTCCTAATGCTCGCTGGCCGCTTTTATATTTTAGCACTATACCAAAAGTATTACTAGTAGTTGGAAACGTGGATAGATCACGATCAAGGCACCACACCGTGCTAGCTTCGTTTATATTCTGCGAGTCATATATACAAATACTTTCAGTTGAGAAATTATGAATTGGATTCAATAGCTGAAGTCCAAGTACATAACCTGGGTTGCATTTTATGTTATAAGTTTTTTCTATGCTTTCTCCGCTATACTTAGTGAAAACTATATGTCGAGTTTCACCGTTAACCAAAGTAATGTCTGTCTCATATTCAGGCACCATTATAGGATGATAATTTGATTCTTCCATATTGAAACCTGGATCTACATTGAACCATCCCGCTATTTCTCTTTGCTGTGGGCCAGTTATATGAGGGTTATGAGAAATACCAGCTATTTTATTGTTTTCTATTGTCGAACTGTACACTTTAAGACCTAGCTGCTTAAAGCTTAGACCACTGCCTTTGTTATTGCTAAACTCAGAATTTCGAACTGTATTAATGGCGTCTGCTCCATATAAATTTGAATATAAAATTCCCAAGCCATCGTGGTAATTGTTGGTTATTTTAACACTTTCAAGACTGTGTCGAGCAAAATCTATTTGAAGAGCAGGTTTGAATAAATTTGATGAATAGTCGAGAAGACCTGCTTTTTCAATACTTAAATACTGCAAATCGGCTCTGTCAGCTATTACACTAAACCTAACACCCGCCCAACTGGTTTCGTAGCATCTTATACCGACATCATTTTTATGGGAACATGAATTTTCAAAATTCTCTGTAGTTTCCGCTTTACACTTAGTAATATCATTATCAAATTCTGTACATTCTACGTTAGACAGTATGACATCTTCTGAAGTGCCAGCGTTAGGAATTTCATTAGGTTCTAGAAACCAATCATCGGGATTTAGTACTAAACCAAGTTGATTGCAAACTAATGCAGCATTTATAATGTTCCAGCGATAATTACACACAGTTCCCCATTTGCCTTCTACTCGTACTTGTAATCTTCCTTCATATTGTGTTCTGCCGCCTAAAAGTCTTATTGGTACTAATGGTTCTTGATAGCCTGGTGTAGTAGGTTCAATCTCGGTATCAGTTTCATAAACACTGTCATTCGACATAGCCACTTCTTCTTTTAAAGTAAATGTAATGTCATTAGGTCGTTTTCCTTTTGCCTCTATCTTGCCAGCAATCATCATTCCGATAGCAGGTGGAAATTTTAAGATTACACCTGATTGCAGAATAAGTCTGCCTCCCGGACGGATATTTATATCTTTATCAACATCATATTCTCCTTGCCTTAATATTTCTATACCTTCGACTTCACCGCCTACTGTAGAAGTTCCTGGTACGTTAAATTGCGGTACATACAAAGAATTATAATTTATTTGAGTGGCTCCAGGGTTACTACTATGTAACAAATACGGCATGTAAACAATTTTAGCCAAATTGTATCTGTCTTTTCGATGAAATAATCTATTATATACTTTTTCCTCTTCAGAATACCCAAGCCAGTTGTAAGTACAGTTGAGTAATTTGCTTTGATCTTCTACATGCGAACCTATTTCGTATTGAGCTTCAGGATTGTTAATAATATTTCTAAAAACATCAATGTTACTTGAAGCTAAAACTATTGTAGCAGCAACCCTACTTCTGGGGGTGAGTCTGGTAGATAGCCCTTCTAAAGCTTCAAATGGCTCTCTGACTTTATTTTCACGTAAATAATTTCTAGAAAACAGTATGTATTGAAGATCACTGTACGGTGATAATCCGAGATTTACTACAAATGGTCCTTTATTTCCATAAAAGTAATTATGCTGAATATCAAATCTAGCAGGCAGTATCTCGAACTCCTCAAGATATTTTCCTTCAAATCTATTTAGAATTGCTATTGCCCCATATTCACCATGTTCAAAATAATTGTATTCAATTTTTCCAATGACATTGAGTGCAGGTTGAATTTTTATAGGAACACGTTGATTTTGATAGAATCTGTTGTGTCCTATTTGTAATTGTAGCAATTTCAGTGGATTACTTAATCTCCAACACGTAGCGATATCAATAGTGCTTTCTAGGCTAGCGTTAAACCAATTTCCAGTAACATTAATCCAACTGTCTCCACAAAAGTTGCCATGTAGAATGCCCACTTCCAAATTCTTAAATATTTCAGAATATTCTACAACTGTAGTTTGGTTCATAGAAATAAATTCGGTTTCTTGCGTGTTATTTATCCATACTGCTATACCATACCCTTGATTTGAACTAAGTATACTTCTTGATATATTTCGGTTGCCGCCTGTGACCGTTATATTAATGCCATCCCCTTGGTTAAAGGATATCCTACTTTCTGTAACATTCACATCTCCAGCGCCACTCGTTACTTGGAGGCCGGCGACATGATTATTGTTAGAAATAGATGTACGATGAATGTGAATTTGAGAACGAAGGTTTTCTATTACAACACCTCTACCATTGTTGTCTGAGATAATGGTGTCTACGACGTTCAAATCATAGGTTTTACTAGTTCCCGAAGTTAACCTCAAAAAGCCAACAATATCCGTCTGTGTATTCGCACGAAATCTTACGTACATTCTATTTCTCGTTGAGGTCACACTTTGTGGTCGAGTATAGTTTCTTATACTAAAAGTTATCAAAAGTTTATCATTCGCTGATAGCCCGTCGTATACAAAAATTTCTCCAGTGTCATTTTTATTTGTAAAAAGCTTTAAAAAACTTAAAGTAAGAACGTGATCTGATCTCGTATAAAATTTTTGATTACAATCTCTTTCCATGTTTGAATATCGTGATTGTTCTATGGTCATTTGTATAGGGAACGTTTGACTAGGGGTAGACGCGAGCGTACACAAATCAAATATTTCACTTCTGTCGAATTTCTCATCTATATTCATTTCGTGCACCACGTATTTGACCCCGTCTCCACCGTTGTCATGAATCGTACAATTGTCGATCTTTGTCATGCCATACGTTGAATTAACATATATACCATACCCTCTATTGTTTTGTATTTTGCAGTTGTTAATAACTATAGGAGCGTTTGGTGACGTCACGTTGATAGCGTTAAAGGCAGAATTTGAAATTTCAATATCTTCCATTAAAGGCGGAACACCTATTATGTCTAAAGCGCTAGTTGCGTTATTATCTCTACCTAGACCGGCATTTTTTATAGAAATGTGTGCCAGTGTTGACATTGACGTTGGCACGTAAAGTGTATTTTCGGCTGTAAGTATTCTTTCAAAGACAGCATTTTCAAATCGTATGCCTCTCCAATGAATTCCAGAAGTTCTCAACTCATTATCATCATGATGCGGTTGGCACTCAATACCGAGATCCGGGTGATAGTCACAAACACCAGACCCCAGTTGTCTCGAATCCCAATCACATTGAAAAAGGTCATACTCGGTGCCTTTACACTTGGGTTCCTCGTATAAAAGTCGTGCCCGCCTTCCTGGTTGCCGATCCATCCAATTGTAAAACGTTCCGCCCATGAAGCCTAATTGCCTGCATGCTGTTTCCATGTCGTTGATGGTCCAACTGAAATATAGATATTAAATATTGTAATAGATTATAAACATTGGTATTTTTCTATATGTACAAGAAAATGTCACAAAATAATTAAGAACAAAATTCATTTAAGTTAGTGAAAACAACGTGCAAACATACTTTCTTGAATTTGTGCAAACAGATCTCCATTGTCCCCTGTGTAATAACTGTACCCTTCCTGTTAATATTGATGGTCCATCAACGAGGCGTATGTCAGGAAAAGGCTTAGATTGTTTTTGGGGTTCTTCTGTGCTTGTAAATTTGATAGTTCGTTCTGCTTCACCCTGGAATCATACAAGATGGTGTTTAATTTAATGAAGTCTTTCGCGTATAATCGCGTATAAATTTTTATTAAACAAATTTTAGCTAAAACGTATATTAAGTCTTAGTTCTATTTATACTCAAATGTTGATTTGCAAGCCTTTTGCTATTGCTACAATTCTTAAGATTGTGTTTTGAAAATGACCTTTTAAACGGAACTTAAACGTCCGTTTTGTACGTCCGTCCATTTATAATACGGATCGCCTCCGCTTTACATCATTCGATTAATCGAAACGAGGTCTAGCCAACAAGGCATGCGAAAAGATTGTCGAAATATTTTTGTTTTAATGTAATTGTAGACTTATTGTCTATTCATAAACGTTGCAATGATGTAGATATTCACTGGATAGGCACTGTTGAATAAATTACATCATACTGACTGTAATTTAGCAACGGTAAGTTTTAGAACAAAAGATGAATAATTTATTGAATTGTAGTTCTTATAAGAGTCGTTTTAAGAGCTATAAATGTTTGATTTAGTTGTGGTCATCAATACTAGGGGCCAGCAGTTCGTGACGGTATGAATGAGAATTGTGAAAAGGCAGGAAGCGATACACGTGAAGTGCAAGGGCGCGGGTCCGTCGTACGTGGGCTGCGCGTGCACCGACGTCTGCCGTGTTACATCACAACCTTCGATTTTTTAAATAGTTAGAGGTCAATATCTCGTCTGACAACTGTCGCGTCTATTATTATTAAACTAGATGTAAATGAAGGACGAATGCTCATATATTATTAAAATTTTGATGCATTTAGTTAATACAAATATATATTTTTAAACAATATTATGTGGAATATGTAAGTATTATGAAGATATTTAATAATAGCGATTTACCCTCGTTTCGCTGGGGTGCTTCCTTAGGTAGGTTTTAATTTTTTGAACCGAACCCTATTTCTTTTCTAAAACAAAAATAGCCTAAGTTACTCATACATCAGCTATCTGCCAGTGAAATTCCCGTCAAAATCAGTCCAGCCGTTTCAGAAATTAGCCGGAACGGACAAACAAAAAATTAAAAAATTGTGTTTTTCTTATGTTAGTACCGTATAAAATTTTATATGCATTTAGCAAAAAGCTGTTATTTTGACATTACAAACAGACACTTCAATTTTATTTATCTGTATAGATGCATAAATTTTCTGCCTTGTTTAAAGATCTTTAAAGGATAAAATTCTACGATAACCATATCGAAACCGAAGTTTAATGGAGTTCATTGCAATTTCTGTGTGAAAGTGAAAGCTCGACTTTCAAGACTTTGATTTCACTGGAAAGAACAAAAATACGCAAGCAAATCGATCATGTTTTCAGACTGTAACTTTCTACTTAGTACGAGTTACAATTTTAACAATTTTATCCTATCTACTACAGTTAGGTATTAGCCCATTAAAGCAAAACAAATCAAAATCTTTATGTATCGTTCGAGTAAACTATAATAATTGAGCTCTTTACAAATCAAACCTCTATTCATAATTCAAAAAATATATAGGTACAATATTGTTAGTTTTCTCATAATAAAAACACGCTCAGAATTTCAGTATATCACAGACACACTTTCAGTTTGATGACCATCTATTAGTAACGTATCTCCACCCAAGTAGAACATTCGTAGACATAATTTTGTCCGTCATTAGAGTAATTTTTAAGGCAGGTCGGTTGTCCGTTAAGGTACGGCTGGTCGGTTGCACGTAAATACAAAAACGCTAATAGGTAGATTTTTTTAGTAGATAGATATTAGATAGGTATAGTATTGTTGATATTGCAAGGACGTGCTATAAAAAGTTGAATGACTTTTAAAATTATAGCTTTGCTGTTTTTAAAAACATACAAAAGTCAATATTCAATATTTATAAAAATGATAAAAAATAAATAATGGATCTGCTTACGACTTATTGTTAACACAGTTACATTTGTAACTTAGTTTGTTCTATATTTTGTTACATGAATAAATATTATATGTAAAATTGTACACAATACAAGAAAATTATTGTGTAGGTATTCAATTGTGTATTGAACGTAATTGGGACACTAAGAAACCGTTATTTCTTTTACTTCTTTTACATTTGCAGGTTTGTTCAATAAATTTTATAATGAATTTAATAGTTTTATTCTTCACCTGCGAGACATAAAATAACCGTCAGATTCCATGTTGTGAAACAGACTTCCGGCAAACAATGATCATTGCTCATCGCGTGGAATTTTAAAGTAGCATCGTCTTTATAGTCTAAACGCACAATCGTTGAATAAATTGTAATGCGACGACCTTATTGCCTTATAGCTTCTATGAACAAAAAGTGGTAATAATTCTCTATACATAAATCTGTTTTTGTGAACGATGTCTTTCTTAGATTGCAGATTTATATATAGTAGGTACATATAACGTAATACGAAAAATGTATACTTAATAATAATTCTACAATATTAATTATGTAAAATTTTTACTTTCAAATAGCACATGTAATAATCTATCTATACATGTAATAAAATTGTAACTAAGCCGAATCTGTACATTAAATATTTTTTGGAAAATCTTATTGAAATAGACATTATTATCGATACAGAGGCCGAATCTATAGTCTTTGGAATTTTTGTCTGTCTGTTTGTTACCGCATCACGGAAAAACTACTGGAGGGATTTCGATGAAATGTGGTATGATGGTAGCTGGTTATCCGGGTCTTACTTTTTACCGCGGGAAAATATCTCATTTCTGAGAAAAAATACAAAAACTGCATTGTAAGAATATACTAATATGTAAAACCTAAGAATTTGGTTTTTGGTCATCTGAACGCGGGTGGAGCCGCGGGCAATGCTAGTAAATAATAATATGATATACACATTCAAGTGCAATATCGATATTGTCATCATTAAATGTATACATACTGGTATTGTTAAAAATTCTATGCAATAAGTGAACTGAATAGAATTTCCTTGTTGTTTGATTGGAGAAGGCGGTCGTGCTTCCGCTGATTTCTCCCTAGTTTTTCACTTCTAAATATATCACCTAAGTTCGCGAGAAAAATATTGCTTTAAAATATAATTATGTAAATATATAATAAAATATATAATAATGTTTAGGTATATTCGTTCAGATATGTGCACTATTATACATACTTCAATTCAATTTTTATGTTCAATGGCTCCTAGAAGTAGGCACCATTTGGGCACCATTTACTTCGCCAACGTCGCGTAAAATGGAGAAGACACGTTATTTATAGAATGACCGAAAATGATACTTTCGTAAATCTAAAAAAAAAAACTTTCTTATATTTACGCAAATATTTGCCATTTTAAATATAACTATTTTTTCGGATATGATTGTTACAACTTTATGATGAACTTTGAGATGTCTAGAATCTTAGTCTCTCTTGTGACAATGTGTAAAGCATTCGAAAACGTCGAGAATAAAAATCTTAAAACATCTGCGAAAAGATCCGAAGATATCGTTTTATTTAAAGAGCAATATAATGTAAAATACCTTAATAGTGTTCTTAATATAGGAAGATAACTAACTTTAATGCCGACATATGTAGGTAGGTGCCTTTACTTGCATTAAACACGCTCATAAAATAGGTGTGAAATAAAACTAGTCATGCCTTCACGCACCAAATACGATAGGTTATTAAACTTATATTGTATACATTATATATCAATTCGATAATATAAATGTATTACGTAACAACATTGATACGTAGTTAATTAAATTACGAATATTATTAAAAGTTAATTAAAACAATTAAAAGCTAAAGAATTCTATGGGTAGCGTACAATTTTATGAACTTTTCAAGTTGGTGGCGCGGGAGAAATCTAATGGTACGTTCCTTTATAAAATGACATTTTTATCGTTACCACAAAATTGTCACGCTTTTCACGGGCACAAGCAGAGCGGGACGATGGTATCTCCCGTGCCAAATGCCAGTCATACCATGGCAACACCATGTCATTGTCCTGCTTAGATCATCTAATCTTTTTATGTATTTGATATAAAATACTCTGTTTCCTTTTTATATCGCACAATGGGCAGTTGTAACCTAATATAAATACTTGGTACCTACAATGAAATACACATAAGTTTTAATTAGAAAGCCTGGTGTAGTTGAGGAAAATTCTAATCTAGCTTGAGATCATATTATTTCGTCACACAGTTTAGTACCTATTCGTTAGTTTAGAATCTAGATGTAAGCTTGAGTTCTTTATGTTCTTTAAAAACTCACTATACAAAGAAATCTAGTTGAGACCGATGAGTGTGGGTGCGTAAGGTAAAACTTTTGTCTAAGACAGACTAATCTGTTTGAAGTTATGGTAATCTTATGTCTGTATGTATGCATTATAATTACATCTGCTATGAACTTAAATAATATACCAAAAATATACGAAACATTAAAGTTGCATCGCAGAAATTATGCAAACGGTTCGCAGACCTAGTCCTGCGGCGTTAAAGGCCTCACGATCGCGACATTTAGCATATTGCATTGCGGTGATGCATTCGAATTTAGTTGTTCTTCTAGGCACTAAAATTTACCTTACACTTAATTAACTAATAATAAAATATAAACTATTTATTAACTTTTTAAGTTTTAACATCCCCAAAATATAAATTCAAAAATTATTATACAGGTATTTTAAAAAGAAACCTCTGGTCGAATGGATGTCGAAATCACATATTCTAATACCTGACAATAAAATAGCTTAAGTACATATTATGTATAGATAAATACAATACTACTATAATCGAAACAATCACTATTGACAAAAAGTTATGTGTCTACGACTACATACCCTTTGTTTTCAAATATTTTTACTAGGTATAAGAAAATTATCTATGACGAATAGAATTTCCATGGAATTTGTAATCAGTTGATTTAGTCACTGTTTTAAAAATACTAGGAACTGTATAGCATGATCGACGCAACATCTAAGTACTAATTGATATCTTCTTAATATATTTATATAAAATTCTCGTATCACGATGTT